GTGTGTACACGCTGAGCAACAGCTTGTGTGTAGCAGTCACTCATAATCCCTCTTTTGTTTCTCTCTTTAGATGGCACTCCTCATGTCAAAGGGGAATTCAACCAATTGTCGAATTTTTGTGTGGTGAAACTGTTAAGATTTAAACAAAGCCATTCAGAGTGGTTTGAGAATTGTTCACAGTGGTGTTGGTAGGAACCAGACGTCTGAAATGTTAATGCCCCTAAAAAGTTCCCTCACATAAAGTTATTGCATGAAATGGTTGCAAATATTTTGCCTGATCCCTGAGACATGTTTTATGATAGTTAAGAGAAGCTTTTGTCATTAAACATGTTTTTAAAGTCTGTCATGGTGGAGAGATACATGCAGGGAGTTGTAAGGCAAAATAAGCCCCAAAGAAAACTTATTTTTTGCACGTATTACTATTTTATCAATATCAACATTACATATAAAAACAGAATATGTGTGAAGATTCAATGGTTGTTGCTGGATGGATCACTTTATTAATCCCAGAGGTAAAGTCATCTGTGACAGCAGCACAAAGTACAGTTAAGAGCAAAACTTTGGATAATAAATAAAATATATTTGCTATATTGTAGACTTCATGATCCTTGGTTTCTATCACCACCATTGTAAATAAATCAAGTCAGTGAGTTACTACAATGAACTATTTAGCATCAAACTATTCAGAATGACTGTTTACATAATTCAGTAGTTGGGTTGTAGACATTTTTTTCAACATCAGTGGTCATGTATGTGTGCCTGTGCACATCTGTCTATACATGTAACCATACGTATCTGGAGAGGCAGCGAGGTAAATACCTACACTCTCCAACACAACCATGAAACTCATGCATGCCTTTAATTACACTGTGTGTTCCACTCGTCCCACTGTCCTTACTACTGTCACACAAAGCTTCAGACTGCAAGAGAGAGCAGCACAAGTAAAGCACCTTTAAGAAGAGCACAGGAGAGAACCTGTGAGAGGGAGTGTGCAGACTGCTGCTGCATTATTTCCCCTGAGAGTGCCCTCATATAGAACTGGACCTGAGCGCCAACTGACCTGCATCTGGCTGCAGTCTCCCTCCTCACCACATGTAGGCGTGTTTCTATCGATTTGGAATTGCAACTCTCTGAAAGATGGAGCTGTGGGCAGAGGATTATTCCTATTGGCTGACAGTGCTGTCAGTTATACAGAACACATATTATACATAAGACCTGCCTCAGATGCCAAAGATGGTGAGTTAAAATAACATTTATCAAGAACTTTTTAAGGATTTTAATAAGAATAATAATGCAGATGGACACATTCTCACATTCAAACATGGACACATGACAAACGTTCAGTGGTGGTTACTATAGTAACGGAATTCATGTTACCTTGCAAGCATTCAGCTCCAACAAAACATAAAAAAACGTGGTGCGTTGGACTTAGTAAGGCGTGGGAATGACAAAATTAAGTTGTGGCCATGACTTAGTAAGGTGGGGGTACGAGATCCTAATGTGTGGCCACGACTTAGTAAGGCACGGGAATGAAATAATTAATCCCTGACTGCAGCTTAATAAGGCTCATGACCATGACATTACTAAGTCGTGGCCACACATTATTTTTAATTATACGGGATTTCACCAGCAGGTCTCTGTGCAATAGTGAATTCTGCCTGATCAGTGCGTAAAGCAGCATTCTATTCCACAGGGTCCCTAAGCATTACTGCTATGTCCCCTACACACATATATGGAGCCCTGCTGGTGACAAAAATAAAAATATAGCATGGCCACGACTTAGTAAGGCACAGGAATAAAATTATTAAGCCTTGATAACAGCTTAATAAGGCATGATCTTGTTCCCACACTGTACTAAGTCATGGCCACAACTTAATTATCTCATTCCCATGGCTTACTAAGTCATGGCCTCACATTAGATCCCACACATTAATACGTCGTGGCCATGCAGCTTCTTGTGAAGTGATAAACCATTGTTCTCTACTCCCTGTGCAGTGTGACGTTCCCTTCCCTGTGGTTTGGAATCACCCTTAAAATATCTGAATACCTTGTGCAGTACACTTTGCAGGGAACTATGAAGGCGACTGTAACCGTGGCAACATAAACAACCCACAGCAGCTGGCTTTTTCCAGTGTTTTTATTTCTGTTTTAATGTTTTATTTTCTGGCACTGATCGGAATTTGATTCAATGTAAGATATGAGAGTAAGGAGGAAAAGTTCTTTCGACCTGGAATGACTATGGTGGACTATAGTTAGCTTCTTCGCGAAGTCACACAAATTTTCCGTTCCACCTTAAGTAGTGTTTCAGTTGCGGGTACTTATCCCATAAGGAATGTAACTGCTGCACCATTTAAGGCGGAATGGAAAATTCAAAAAAGAAACTGCAAATAGGAATCTAACTTCAGCTTTGTGTAAACATGGTGGTAAGGTAGGAATATAGCTATGTAGCTAGTTTGCAGGTGAAACAGTGTAACTGTAACTAAAAATGCTGTGAAGCTTCATCGGTTTTATTTATATTAGTATCATACTGCATTGCTTCTATAATGTAGATGTTTCATTGACATAACTTTATATTTATTGCCAAATAGAGCGATGTACCTCATAGTGTTGCGCATTCAAGGTACCATAGCTGGGGCTTTACATACTACACTAATGAGCACGTGTCTAATGGTTCTTCTATCATGACAAGCATGACATTGTAACAATAGAAGAACCGTTTTTGGTACTATACAGCACCCTTCTACATAGAGCCATCTACAGCACATTCTCCATCAATCTGAAGAACGCTTTCACAATGCAAAGAACCATTTAAGCATGCAAAGGGTTCTTTGAGTGTTCATGGGTCTATATAAAGCCATTTTCTTCACTAAAGAACCCTTGAAGAACCATCTTTATTAAGAATGTGGAATGGCCAAAGGGGTGGCCAAGCTTCATGTTACGGTGGTGTTGGCCACCACTTGGCTCTGCCCCGACACACATTTCCACCAAAAAAGGTCTCGACTTTCCCAGATTGTACATAATGTAGCTTTAAATGTACACTTTTAAATGCTTCCCTTAAGCACGATTTTATATGAACAATCATTTAATGTTTAACAGCCTCGCTGTGTTTAGTACAGAGATTGTTGCCTTCAGCAAACTTTCCAGTTGACATCTGTGGCTTGCAGTCTACCTATGACCATCTTAAGAGTAACCTACGTCATAATAATTGGTGAATTGATTGTACAAAACAGGGTGAAGTAATCAGACTCAGGACCCCACCCTGATTCACATCCCTCCAATAATAAAAGCCTTTGAGCACAGCCCTTCCATTCCCCAGACTCCCTACATTTCAGCACGCCCACTATTACTCCAGAGAGCCATGTCCCAATGCAGTAAGCTTGCTATGATCCATGTAGTCACTTTAGGTCAGTGGTCACCAATCCTCTTCTTGGAGATCTACTTTCCTGCAGAGTTTAGTTCCAACCTGCATCTAACATGTTGCCCCTCCTTTTACAACCCCCAGATGCCAAAGATGGTGAGTTAAAATAACATTTATCAAGAACGTTTTAGGATTTTTAGTAAGAATAATAACGCAGATGGACACATTGTCACATTCAAACATGGACACGTGACAAATGCATTGAACATTCAGTGGTCGTTACTACTGTAACGGAAATTATGCTTGCTAACGCTACCTTGCAAGCATTCAGCCCCGACTAAATGTAACAAAACGTTTATTTAAACAGAAACGGTGGTGTGTTGAACTTAGTAAGGCGTTGGAATGAGAAAATTAAGTTGTGGCCATGACTTAGTAAGGTGGGGGTACGAGATCCTAATGCATGGCATAACACTATCGCATCTGATCCAGCCAATCAAGAACTTCTAAAGAGGTTAATTAGCTGGAGCAGGTGTAACCGTTTGTGGTTAGAACTGGATTCCACAGGAAGGTAGATCACCAGGCCTGGTGACCACTGCTTAGGTCAATACAGCACATATCCTGCAGTTCAATCAGGATTGCACAATGATGACTATAATAATAGATCATTTTAATTTCATATTCTGTACATTCATGCACCTTTCCCTTCAGCTGCCACAAGCAGTCTGCAAGGCAAGTATGCCTTACTACGGAGCCTGGCTGGTGACATTACCTATGATTAAAATAATGCGTGGCCACAACTTAGTAACATGTGGGAACGAGATAATTAAGCCATGGCCACAACATAGTAAGGTGAGGGAACGAGATAATTAAGTCGTGGCCACAACTTAGCAAGGCATGAGAACGAGATCCTAATGTGTGGCCTTGCTGGTCACATCCGGTCTAAATAAAAATAACGCGTGGCCACGTCATATTAACATGTGGGAATGAGATCCTAGAGTATGGCCACGACTTACTAAGGCCTGGGAATGAGACTTCACCACAGTTTAATAACACATTATCTCATTCTCACACCTTACTAAGGTGTAGTCAAGACTTAATTATCTCATTCCCACGCCTTAGTAAGTCGTGGCCATACACTAGGATCTCATTCCCACACATTAATACAATGTGGCCACGCATTATTTTTATTTACACAGGATGTCACCAGCAGGGCTCCGTAGTACAAGCCATCACTATGGGTAAACTTTTTGCAGCTTCTTGTGAATTGATAAGCCGTTGTTCTCTACTCCCTGTGCAGTCTGACCAGGTGTGGTGACCACTGCTTAGGTCAATACACCACATATCCTACAGTTCAATCGGGACTGCTGACTATAATGATGACTATAATAAATCATTTTAAATTTCGTATCGCTTCATTACTCATTCATGCACATTTTGCTAAAGCTGCCACAAGCAGTCTGCAAGGCTAGCAGGCTCATACCAGTTCCCTTATGTGCTTATGCTTTTAAATCAATAATAAATGCCAGATTAAGATTAATACTATTGCCAGTTCAGTTAACTTTAGCAGAGAGATTACAAACTACGCACAAGACACGCCTCTCTTCCCTCTCAGCCAATCAAACTAACCCACCCCTGACAGTGTCCTGCAGTGCTGTGAGGAACATTTTAACAGCAGTGCGCGTTCACATGGTGTCATACATTTGGAGCTGTACGGATGTGTATGTGACAGAGCAGCATGACTTGTAATTGTCGGGATGCTGGCTCTTATGGCGGAGGGTGAAATGGAGGGCGTGTAAGAGTAAGTGTCCTGCTCATGCTCAGCTGCTTAAGGTAAGTGGCTTTTCCCTGTGTTGGGTGGCTACACCCCTCCAGTAGAAATCTCAAGGTATAATGCAGTGTTTCCTATCTTGGGTACTGTAATGGAACCAGCACCGCAGTTTCATGTTGTCTTGGCCTTTGAATCATATCATTAACTTATGGTGAAATCCTTCTTGAGCTCAATCAGGTGTTAGAGCTGAGAAAACATGTAATTGTGCTGTGCAGGTGAACTGCAAGACTGCCAGTACAGCACTGTAATGAATATAATGAGTAGATTCAGTAGCATCTCAGAACCCAGGATTTTTTGAAACAGAGACTCTCAGAAAAAAGGGCACTGAATGTCACAGGGGTGGTACGCTCAACGGTATGTCTTCAGTACCTTTAGTTCGGAACCATATTGCTACAGTATTTTCTTGCAGTTACATTTCTTTTAAATTGCATCGACTGTCATGACACCAGGCTTCTTGTTTTATTTTTCTATTTTAAAATATCACATTATGACAAGGTACAAATGTGTGCTTTTCCACTAGTGAAGTTATTGTACTGTACTGTAAAACTCACGGTTGGATCTTGTTGTTGTACCTTTGAAGGTATGCTTACATTGTTTGTACCTTGATAAACAGAAATGTGTCTATAAAGTGCTTTTCTTCTGGCAGTGTAGACTGAATTTCCCATTAATAAATTAACAGTAACATATCATAATCTCTGAATAATTAAACAGGTAATGAAGAGTTAAATACCCCCAGACAGTTAGAGCACTAAAAGCATTAAGTCTGCACATACCTGTTTGGTTAAGCAAAGTGGTTAATAATTGGCCTCCTGCTACAGAGTTTCTCTCTGAATCTTTCTTAATCACTGCTTCCCTCTCTCTCTCTCTCTCTCTCTCTCACACACATACCATTCTAGATTAGTTTCTGGTGCACATACTGGTCATGCAGTATTGTTACATTAACAGGTGGTGTAGCATCAGGCAAGTGCGCAGATAGACCCCCAGAGGGGTCTGCAAGTGTCCCCTTGGTTGTTGTGTATTCACATTTCAGTGAGTCAAAGCTCAACTTACATGCCAGGAACAGACCTGCTGGGTCAGTTTGAGCTCCACAAGCTTCATCAGACACACACATCACCACCTAGCTGGAAATCTCGATAAAGAGTGATAATCTGTCCCTACCACTTAGCCCTTAGGGTGTCCTGATTTTTGTTGAGAATCAGGATAGGCAGGGCAAAGTGTTAGGGCTACATGGTCCTCCAAACTTTATCAGAAGCTGTGTTATCAGAAAAAAAGGAAAAAAAAAAAACGGCAAGATGGCTGCGCAAGCGACCAAAGAAACCCACAAATGTGAGTATTTTTTCTGTTAAATAATTACGATAACCATTGTATTATCTTAATGTCATTTCAATGTATTATGGTCCTTTTCTTCGTAACAACCATAAAAATGGCTAGTACTATGCTGATGTCTCGGTAGCTTGCTAGCTAAATTTACCGTTACACCTTAAATGGTGCAGCAGTTACATTCTTTTTCCTCAGGTGTCAGAAACATTTATGGTGGAATGGGAAAATTTGAACGAGAAGCTGGTGAATAGCAGACTTCAGCTTCATATCCTTGAAGAATTAGGGGTGGGCAATAATACATAATTATAACTTTACCCTCCTCTGCTGTCACTGCAGTCTGGCAGGGTTGCCTACAGAGCAGCGCTAGTAGCTGTTAATGAAGTAATGCTCTTTTTTATTTGAGGGTCCCATTTCATAGGGAAGATTTCAACCACCACCCCTTATAACTCAGTTATAGTTATATAACTCAAGGGGCAAAGTGACACTCAAAAACAAGGGGTAGGGGTAAAATTAAGAAATGGAATTGGGCCTTTGTCATTGTAAAAAACGGCTTTGTGTCCGGATCTGTGGAGCTCTTAAACAGAGTTCAAACTGAACAGTTTTCAGTAAATTGATAGCATAGCGGCTAACATTACAGCGTAGTGTGCAAGAGATGGGGTTCAAATCCCTGTTTGGAAAGTAATGCTGTCATTTTAGGCTAACTTGTGAAGAACTCAGCACTAGGTTTTGTTTCTTTCTGAAACTTGAGTACCCTATCTCTCTTGAGAATAGTCTTCGCAATATGTGCAGTATGAATTAAGTGTAATTCACAATCATGTTTCCCTGTTTTCTCTGAACTCCTGGCCCCCCAAAATGTCTGTGTAGTGTAGTGGTTGGTGTGGTGTAGTGGGTAATACTGCTGTCCTTCACATGATTCCCTACTTTGTTGCCTGGGCAAGCATGCTACACCAGTGAGAGTCCTGGGGCAAGACTCCTAACATTACAGTCGTCTATGTCTGTAACATAACTAAATTGTAAGTAGTTCTGGATAAGAGCGTCTGTCAAATGCATGAATGTAAATGATGTTATCTTCATCTGAAAGAGTAAAGAATGGTGCTTTCTCTTTCTTTTTGATATCTGTCAAAAAAACGCATTAGTACACATTGTGGGAGTTTTTGTGGGTGAAGATTGATGTGAAGACCTGTTGTATTTTTTCATATAATGATGCAAACAATATGAGTTGGTTTAAATCAAATTCATCACTGTTATACTGAGCTGGATGTTACAGATCTGGATGTGAGCTGGATGTGTGACAGCAGCCATTTATTTAAAATGACTGACTGAAGCCCCGCCCCACACTGTCTCCTATTGGCTGATGCAGGAGTATGTTAGAGTATGCTGTGTCAAAAATTCAGCTCTGGAACTTTTTATGGTAACAGAACATAATTTTGGAGCATTGACAGGAAAATGTACCTGTTGTCCATAAAGGCATTGCTCTCATTAAATGGCATGACAACCAGGCCAACTATTGGCTGTTGCTGAGCATCTGTGGTTGACCCTCGGCAGTGTGTCGTGCCCAGTTAGCCCTAGTTGGCCCTTGACAGCGCCTGTTCGGCTAATTGAGCATGTTGACCTGGTGTGGAGGCCAGCAGGGAGGGCGAGTTCTCTGATTGACTGTCCAGCCTGGTGAATCAGTGCAGAGAGAAACAGAAGGGAGCAAAGCTCACTGTGCAGCTCATTAGTGTAGTAGCCTGTCCCAAAGTCTATGTGGTTTGTGGTTTTGCTCAGTGCACAATAGCAGAAGTCTTTGTCTGTGACTTTGTCCATCTCTAAAACCTCTTCTGGTTTTTGATTACATCACTGAACACCAGCATGGGGAAAATATTAATATTAACTGATGAAATCATATGACACCTTCCACTCCCACCACCCCCACCCATCATCAAGAGTAAGTGCTCAGCTAGCTCAGAGACCCTCCCTGATCCCATGTTTCAACTGGGAGGAAAGTGTGATGTTAATGTGCCAAATTAATGGAAAACTCTGTTTTTTTTAAATAAGAGTTTGATGCAGTATATAAACTGTGTTAGTTTAAAAACAACTAAACTGCAAAATCAACTACTTTTGAATTAATTTTTTGTGATGTCACAAAATCTAACACATTTGCATATGTAAACCTATACAGCCTGTTTAATTATAGAATAGCAACACATAAACCTTATCAGTAAACCTCAGCGAGAAAAATACTTATATAAGAAAAATGTAAGATATGAGCCCTTTAACTTTCTTCCCCAATACTTCCTAAAAAGGAAGTTATAACTTCACCACTGCCTTGAACTGTGGGATATATACTTAGTGTAGTAGTGCTTTTATGTGGTATTGGGTAAAAGGTACATCTGGTGTGTGTTGATTATGCTTTTCCACATTTGAGAAATGGGACGCACTTGGACACTTACTGGAAAGAACGTTAACATAGACACAAGTACACAAACCGCATGTGTAAACTCGGACAGGCCATAACTGAAGCCTCTTTGATTTCTCATTCCTGCATCCTCCAACCTGGAAGGACGGTGGAATTACACTGCAAAAACATGATCTAAGTCAGTGACAGTGTTCATGAGGTGGGATTCCCCGGACCAGGGCTGGCGCCGGGTGATCCTTTCATTCAGAACATTCAAGAACAGATAAACGGTGAGGAGGTCTGAGCATTGAAATCAAAGAGAAAATCCCTCTTCACTTTGAGAAACTAAAGCAGCCCACCACAGCCCACTAACATTTAACCCGTTAACACTTCAGGTTTATTTAATACAAAGGCTTATTATTCAGTAACTATAGGGACTTCAGTGCAAACTAATGGAGCTATTCTCAGGTTATAGAAGTGTGTAATAAAGCTTTGGGCCTACCGGCTTGTTTTGCCCATGGCTTGTTATTTGGTATGTTATGTGTTCTGCAGCGCAGCATTGAATCCCTCAGCCTCATCAGTTCACAGTTTTGTATTCTTTTTATGTATTAGTTCATCAGTGTTTTTTTTCTACAGCACCCAGCATGCATCACGCAAATACTTTATACAGCTACTGCAAATCCACCATAGCAGTAAAGTAATCCTGAATGTTAGCACTTTCTTTTTCATGTCCTCACTGCCTGTTTGCTCTCTCTTCTCCTGGCTGTTTTTTCTTTTTTGGTCTTTTTTCTGTGTATTTTAAAGCTCGTTTCTCTCATCCTTCTCCTTCTTGAACTCTTCCTGACTTTTCTCAGCTTCTGTAATGCGGTTTCAGCCTCACCAAAGACTCTTGTATGAATAGTCTTTTAGTGAGTGAATTCATCACGCATCTAAATGGGATTACAGCCAAATACTAAAAACACAGAACCACTCAGTATGAAGCCGTGTTTTGTCATACAGCTCCATTTTTGAAGAGATCAGTGTCTGCTTGATTTCTAGGATTACTTTCTCTAATATGAACCTAAATTAGTGAGCTGTGTTCTAATATGATGAAGCTATTCTCAATATTGATACTCATTGAGAGGTTTCTGTCAGGGCCTTTGAGCTCATCCTCTTCCAGCTAGATATTCATTAGAGATTTGAGCTCGGTATAGAACTGGGCTTCAAGTGGTTCAACATGGAAATTAAATGTCTAATGAATGTTAGAGGTCTAGGGTCTAGAATATCAGTGTTGGGAGATTTAGCCACCTCTGAAACATCAGGCCTTCATCAAGGCCCAATCCCATTTCACCCCTCGCCCCGCTACTTAGCCCTTAGCCCGCTGTTTTGCGCGTTCACGTCTAGGGTTAGAGTGTTCCAATTTTTGTTGAGATAGAGGGGTAGGGTGAAGTGTTAGGGCTACATGGCCCTCCAAACGGAGGTTTTTCAGAGACACAGAGTGTTATGAGAAAAAAAAAGCTGCACGAGCAACCAAAGAAACCCACAAATGTGAATATTTTCTCAGTTAAAAAATTATGATCATCTTTGTATTATCTTAGTTTAATGTTGTTTCAGTGTATTTTCTTAATAACAAGCATAAAATTCACTAATAGCTTGCTAAAGTCTTGGTAGCTAGCTAGCTAGCCAACTTTCCCGTTCCACCTTAAATAGACCAGCAGTTCTGACGCCTGAAGCGCCAGAATGTAACTGCTGCACCATTTAAGGTGGAACGGGAAAATTCGAACAAGAAGCTGGTGAATAGCTGACTTCAGCTTCGTATCACCAAAGAATTAGCAGTGGGCGATAATAAATAATTGTCTTATCCCCCTCTTTGAAGACATATGATTCCCTAAATGTAAGTAAAGCCCAGCAGTGAGGAGCTGAACTTTTCATTTCTCTGCTATCACTGAAGACGGGCCGGGTCGTCTACAGAGCAGCGCTAGTAGCTGTTAATGAAGCAATGTTCCATTTCATAGGGTAAGATTTCAACCACTACCCTTTGCAACTCAGTTCCAAGGAGTTAGGGTGACACTCAAAAACAAGCTAATCATGACAGTTATTTATAATATCAACAAGACCACTTACTGAAATAATAATTCAAAAGTCAAAGAACTCTGTTATTTTCGGACCACGTCGTACGATTTTACTTGTTAATGTCACATCTGGCTCGATGTTTAGGTCTTAAACACAAAATCAACTTTATACTTTATGTCCTAGCATTACTGCACTTTTCATATTTGCACTGTTACTGCACATTTGTTTACTCTGCATACTTATCTTTTCACATATGCTGCTCTGACAGTACATACACCTACATTTGCATTCTCTCCACTCACTCTGTATATATATATATATATATATAAATATATGTACTATACTTATGTTTGCAACGTCTATATTTTTTACCACTCTACCTTCCTTATTTGTACATATTGTAACTGTCAATGTTGGTTACTTTCTTGCACTTTATAAGAAAATAATGCTGTATTTTGCACTTTTGGTTAGATGCTAACTGCATTTCATTGGCTCTGTACCTGTACTCTGCACAATGACAATAAAGTTGAATCTAATCTAATCTAATCTAATCTAATCTAATCTAATCCAATACTGCTGAAGATATGATGACAATAGACCAGTTTTGACTGAGTTCTCTTTGAATTCTCTTTCATCATGCTTGCAATCATCAGATTCATACGCTCGGGGAAGGGGTCTGAAGCACAACCCTTGTTACAAAATATTCTTCCTCATGTGTGCATTTACACATTTCCACTAGGGGGGTCTCCAAAGTTTCAAATGATTTGCGAGCCAGGCCTTCTCATCTAACATCAAAAGCTCTTTTGACTGAACGGGCCCAAATCCCCAAAGACACCCTCGAAATCTTAAGGAAAGCCTTCCTCGAAGAATGGAGGCTGTTATAGCTGCATAGGGGGACCAACACCATATTAATGTCCATGTGTTTGGAATGGGATGTCCAACACGCTTGTATACGTGTGATGGTTAGGCATCCACATACTTTTGGCCATGCAGTGTATATGAATGTCTGTCCCGGTTCACTTCCCTATCAGTTTGCTCTGTTCAGCAGTGTTTGTGCTGCAGTATCAGTGGTGCTGAATGAGTCATTGTGGTGGAATTTTACTGACGTACATCACATTCAGTTACAGCTTAACAGGACTGACACATCAGTTTGTCACAAGGGTTTGATTTTTCGCCTTTGTTAACTTTTATTTATTTCAACCCAATACAACCAATAAAACAATGACAGTCATCTTCCTTTTTTTCTCCCTCTCTTTCTGCCCCTCTCCTTCTCTCAGGTGCGGTGTGAGTGTGGTGGGATGAGATGGGTGACGGGCAGCAGGGGGAGGCGGTGGGTGGTGAGTGTCGGCCCCATGCCCTGTTCGACAGCTTCGTGCAGGCGTCGACGTGCAGGGAGACGCTGCGGGCGTTTCAGGAGCTGTGCAGAGAGCTGAAGCTGCAGCCTGGAGGCAAACCGTTCTTCTACCACACCCTGAGGAACAGACTGCACTACTGGAGGGCCAAAGCTCTGTGGGCCAAGCTGGACAAACGAGCCAGCCAGAAAGAGTACCAGAGGGGACGCGCCTGTACCAACACCACGGTAAACAAGCCCACACGTGCACACACAGGGCAAGTATGACAATACAATGGTAAATTGGCCTAAAGCACAGGATGCAGCTCCTGTTAACCCTTACATGGCTAGAGTTATTGTTGTTTTGCAGTACATCCAGTTTACGTTACACAGACATTTACATGTAAGTTCATAATAACATAGATGCAGTTGTATGCAAAAGTTTAGGTGCCTCTTATCAAATGACATGTTTTGTTGATTCTTCCATGTGGGAATAAGTTAACACATCCTCCTGGAGGGCCTGTGTCCAGCACAGTTTGGTGATTTACCTGCTTTAACACACCTGATTACATTTATCTGTTAATTGCCAGGTTAAGTGGGTGTGTTTGAGCAGGGAATCTACCAAACTGTGCTGGACGCTGGCCCTCCAGGACCAGAGTTGTGCACCCCTGTTCTACACAAAGAGTGTCCAGTCTTATCCACAATGGTCTGGTGTGGGTAGAGGTTTTCATTCCAACAAAGCAGGAGCGCTACTGTTTAATCAGCTGGTTTCAGTCTAAGAACAATTGATCATGTGTCCTCCAGCTTTTTTGGAATAAAAACCAGCAGCAAAAGACTGGACAGCCCTGCTCTACAGAGAACACACACAATCTGCACATTTGAATGCACAATTTCTGATTGTTTACTGAGTTAAACATTTTGGGGGAAAACTAAAACATAAAATGTACAAAGGTTATGGCACATTGTGTATAGTTATGTTTTATTTTTCCCCCAAAATGTTTAACTAAGTAAACAATCGGAAATTGTGCATTACAACTTGCAGAAAAATGCCATATTTAAGCTGTATTAGCTTAGCTTCACTTACAAAATCAACAAAACATGTTATTCATTCAGACGTTTGCATACAAAAAGTCTGAATGCTTACAGGTTCAACTTTGTTCTATAATTTTTGATGTCAGAAAATGTAAATAAATAAGTAAGTAAATACATCTTTATACAATTCCTTACAAAGTTTGTCTCTTCTACCTACTTGTTTCTCAGTGTCTGATAATAGGCGCAGGGCCGTGTGGGCTTCGGACGGCTATCGAGCTGAGCTTCCTGGGTGCGAGGGTGGTGCTGTTGGAGAAGAGAGATGCTTTCTCCCGAAACAATGTCCTCCACCTGTGGCCCTTCACCATTCAGGACCTGCGCGGCCTAGGGGCCAAGAAGTTTTATGGAAAATTCTGCGCTGGAGCCATAGATCACATTAGTGAGTGATCTCAGCAGTTTTTGTGGTTGTGTGATTTGTGTGTGTTTGAGATAATGACAGTGTGTCTCTTTGGTTATGTTTATATTACAGAGTTGATGCAGCACATTTTTTTGACTGAATTTGACAAAGAGCATAGAACTGACAGTTTAAACCCACAACTCATAGAACTCTTTGTATGTCAGTTGCTTACTAACTGAAACTCCTTTAACAGTAAACAAGATTAGGGATGCACTGATCCTGACCTTTTATGGCCGATTACAGTTTACTTACAATAAAAGCTGCTTTTGATAGACTTTATTTTTTAACCTGAAGCTCACACTGTGTGGGCTGGATGAGCACCTAAAACACTGTAGCCGTTTTCAGTACTTTTAAGTATCCAGAGTATTTATGTAAATAACTAGTGTTGTAGTACTCAAATCCGGTCTTGGTCTTGACACTGTAAATTAACAGTCTTGGCCTGGTCTTGGTCTCGGTATCATTTGGTCTCGGTCTCTCGGGCTCTGTTCTCGAGACCAGTCGAGTGCAAGAAACTAAACGTTTTTCTATCATTATTGAAAATCAATAGAACCTTTAAAGAGAATGAAACAGTCCTTTTTCCTTAAATCGCTTTTGTTTGCTGTTCGTTGAGGATCTAATTGATATTTCTGTGATGGTTGAAGTATTATTTGTTTGTTGATGTTCATTGGTTCAAAGATTTTCTCAGGGCAGATAAGAATGTGACTATTACTAATTAATACTAGCTATATTATTTAATGTTAAGTTTTACAAAATATCTTATTATTCATTAATATATATCATGTAAACAGAATGATAATGAATGTACAATGCACAATGAATGAATTTCAGTTTTTCCCTTTATTCTTTTTATTTTTATATTCTTAAAAAATCTTAATCTGGTCTTGGTCTTGTCTCAGTCTCTGTCTTTTCTGGTCTTGGTCTTGACTCAGACTTGATGTGTCCAGGTCTCGGTCTTGACTACAACACTAGAAGTAGCATTGTTTAGTTTAAATTACATGAATTAAATAAACTTCTGCACTGAGTTATGCTGAGGTGACAGGTTATTTAGCCCAATTAGTTATACTTGATTATGCTGTAATATTTTGGTATAAGCGTAGCAGCAGCGTTTAAATACAGTGCAAGTTCTCTTACCTGGCTCATGTTATTTTTATTAATGTTTTTATAAAATGTAAAATTGCAACACAGATCAGGCAAAAATAACATGAATAAATCATCCAATTGTGTGTTTGGAGCAAAAATCTTGACCGATTCTGATCGTGCACCCCTAAACAAAATTGTTTATACGCCTCGAAATGTGAGCTGTTTTTGTCAGAATCCTGGAATTGTCATCGTGTACTTTGGAAAGCAACTGAAAGTTGTTAGTATGTAAATCATAATTCATAATCGAGCGCTGTCGCCTCACAGCAAGATGGGCCTGGGTTTGATTCCCCGGCCGGACAACCAGGGTCCTTTCTGTGTGGAGTTTGCATGTTCTCCCCGTGTCTGCGTGGGTTTCCTCTGGTGCTCCGGTTTCTCCCACAGTCCAAAGACATGCCGTCAGGCCAACTGGACACGCTAGATTGCCCCTAGGTGTGAGTGAGTGTGTGAATGTATATGTCTGTATGTCTGTCTGTCTGTCTGCCCTGTGATGGACTGGCGACCTGTCCAGGGTGTATCCTGCCTTCCACCCAATGACTGCTGGGACAGGCTCCAGCTCCCCCCGCGACCCAGAAGGATAAGCGACTTGGAAAGTGTGTGTGTGTGTGATTCATAATCGCAACATGAACATAAGTTAGGATTTGTGATTTGTGATTTTTGTGCTAGTTGTATTCACAAAATCAAATGGATTTAATTGTAAAAAATTACAATCACACTTCATGGATTTGGATTCAGAAAATTCATGAAATTACAACCCCTTCATTTCATTCATGTTGGATTCCTTTTGACAGGGCTTTAAATTCTGAAAATCTGAAGGCTTATTAATGTAAACACAGACAGAATTCTCACACTGCAGCCTCATAACAGTGAACAAACACATATTTGACTACTCTGCATGTGTAAACACTCTGTGTTTGTGTGTGTGTTTGTGTGTGTGTGTAGGTATCCGACAACTGCAGCTGATGCTGCTGAAGGTGGCTCTGCTCCTGGGTGTGGAGGTTCATGTGAACGTGGAGTTCAGGAGGCTGCGAGAACCTCCGGAGGACCAAGAGAAGCAAAGTAGCGTCACGTCCATCATAACAGACATCATAGTCGCTCACCCATTCTTACCATGGAGGAGATGGAGAAGGGTTTTAGCACTGATTTGATGTGTGTTTGTATCTGCACAGGTGTCGGCTGGAGGGCTGAGGTCCATCCGACTCCTCACCCAGTGAGTGAGCTGCAGTTTGATGTGGTTATCGGAGCAGATGGCAGGAGGAACACTTTACCAGGTAACATCACACGCTCACCTGCTGGAGACATACCGTTCCTGACTTGACTGCAGTCATTGCATGGATTAGACCCCATTTATTTTATTGGGGTGGCAAACTGCAAGGAAGAAAATTAATAAAACAGCATTTAATAAGTTTCTTTTATGCATATATTAAGCCTATGTTATTGAAATGTCATCTACTGAATTAACTTTACATTAAATTAAAACATTTTGTGTAGCTGCGCTGTAGAGTGTATTCCAGGGGTCGGCAACATGCGGCTCCGGAGCTGCGTGCGGCTGTTTTACTGCCCTGTTGCGGCTCCACAGCAGCATTAGATTATTAGGTAAAAATAAAATAATCCTCCTTTGCGGTAAAATAAAGCTCTGCTGATCATTCAAACGCAGTTTTAACACTCAATGGTCTTAAATGCTGGAGTTAATGTATAACTGCTAATTCATCCTTTAACCCTGAAGATCGGTGCCCAGACTGCTGGTCACCATAGCAACAAGCCAATAGTCTTGCCTAGCTAGTAGCTAACAAAAAGGCAAAGAGAAATATTTAAGACGAACATCCATAATTCAGAGATGAATTGACAGACTTATTTGCATCCTTAGTGTAAGTGGATCAGACACAGCAGTGCTGCTGGAGTATTTAAACACCTCAGTGTCACTGCTGGACTGAGAATAGTCCACCAACTAAAAATATCCAGCCAACAGCATCCTGTGGGCAGCGTCCTGTGACCACTGATGAAGGACTAGAGGATGACCAACACAAACTGTGCAGCAGCAGATGAGCTATCGTCTCTGACTTTACATCTACAAGGTGGACTGACAGGGTAGGAGTGTCTAATTGAGCGGACAGTGAGTGGACACAGTGTTTAAAAACTCCAGCAGCACTGCTGTGTCTGATCCACTCATACCAGCACAACACACACTAACACATCACCACCACATCAGTGTCACTGCAGTGCTGAGAATGATCCACCACCCAAATAGTACCTGCTCTGTGAGGGTCCATGGGGGTCCTGTCCACTGAAGAACAGGGTAAAAGAGGACTAACAAAGTGTTCAGAGAAACAGATGGACTACAGTCTGTAACTGTAGAACTACAAGGTGCACCTATATAGTAAGTGGAGCTGATAAAATGGACAGTGAGCATAGAAACAAGGAGGTGGTCATAATGTTATGCCTGATCGCTGTATAACATACTGAACATGTTACACAAAAATATTTTTTGCCTGATGAAGACCCTAGAAGTCAAAATGTTGCGGTTATCTATGAATAAATAAGGGAGCATTGAGATATGCAGTGTGCGGACACCTGCTTTAATTGATAAAAATGTTTTTGGCAAATGAAATATAAACATGCTGCACTAGATTCTCCAGAATAGATTCGCTGTTTTATTTCCTGTGCCTCCATTTTCTCTTAAGCATGGGCCTCGGCAATAAATTCTGTCGACATCATGAGTCTGACTCCAGCTTTAGAACGTTTTAAGGAAATGAAAGTAGAGAGGAAGAATAAAGTAAGGAGTAAAACTTAATGAGACGACTTAAGACTCAAGTAGAACTTGGTTAGTCTGCACTAAGTGACAAATTTGTCCCTGACCGCATGACGAAACGTCATGTGCGTCCTTTCAGTGGCATTTCACAATCCAAGGCGGTTTAACGGGCAGTTCCTCAGTTTTGCTTTGCTTTTTTCTACAAGCACTTCTTTTTGATCTGCTGAACAGTACAGCCCCCGTTTCTTTATCTGATTGAACAAATGCAGACTTTTGATTTCCAGTGCTGTCTTTGTTTCATTTGATGTAAGGAAAAACTCTCTCTCACTCTGTTTATCTGGTAGGGTTTCACAGGAAGGAGTTCCGGGGGAAGCTGGCGATCGCCATCACAGCGAATTTCATCAACCGCAACACGACAGCAGAGGCCAAAGTGGAGGAGATCAGCGGTGTGGCCTTCATTTTTAACCAGAGATTCTTCCAGGACCTACGCAGCGCCACAGGTACAAAATACACAACACCTTTGACCACATCTTATTTAATAGAGTTTTTCAAGGCTCACAATTGAATTAGTAGTTTTTTTTAATAATTACATTAGCCATTCCAGTAATGATGGACGTAACATTAGGTGTGAGCAATATACTGTATTTCTGTATTACTGTATTATAAACTGTGTGGTTTGTACCAGACATGTTAGAATTAACCCTTAGAATTAACCACACTGGTTTTGTTACTGTGCCTTTATTACTATTATCTGTAAATGATTTCTGCTCTGATTGGCTGCCCTATATTGTGTCTCATTCAAAAAACAGTCCAAGCCAAAACACTCCTTATAACTTTGGTGTTAGTGAGAGGGGTTAACTGCTGTAGGCTGGGTATGTGGCTTGGTTTTTCATGACATCATAAAAGAAATTTAAAAAGGCTTATTTTATAGCTTAGTTTCCATATATGGTGCATGGATGGGGTGAACATGACACTTTAAAACTTTAATAATGTTTACATCCTACATCAAAACCTCGCTCACAACAAAAATGAAAAATGAAGCTTTATTTTTATGTGGGTGAACAGGTGATGGTCAAATTCAGAGGTAAAAAACAAGGACAAACATAACAAAACCAGGCAACCAGATCCAAAGGGCAAAGACAAAAAAGACAAAGTCATAGAATCCAAAGAGAGGTCAAAAAAACACAAAAGGGATCAGAATAAACGCAATCTCTAACTGATCATAAGACAAATGGAAGGTGAACTAGATTAGCATTCAGCTGAGTGTGAACGATGATTGGAGCGCGGTGGAGGGTTAGCAGGCATGTGATCTCCCAGAGGATTCTGGGAGATGGAGTTTATGGACACATCAGAGTGGGAGGGATGCGTGACAACTTTAAAAAAACAAGGAAAATATGGTTTTCCATGATACGGACCCTTTAACCAAACATCTATTAATGCAGCTTTAAAAAATAAGGGCTGACTCTCAAAATATCTGTTGGTCTGTTCATCATATTGCTTTTGTCATTGATCATATAAACGGCACCTGGCATTTACAGAAGGGGCAAAGAAATAAAAACTTTTAGAAAGGGAGTAACAGGATTTTTGCAATACAGTTATTTGCAGATAAATCAAGGATATGAAAATTAGATTTACAGTAACAATGAACTGTGTGACGCAGTACACAAACCTTTTAGCAGATATTTACTGTTTACTTTATTACATATATCCTTGTAACTAAGCCTTGTATTGACACTTACTGTCCATTCTATCAGGTTCTTCTGGCTTATCAGGTGCACTTTGTAGTTCTTCACAGATTGTAGCCTGTTTCTCTGCATAATTTGTTAGCCCCTATTATTTATATGTCAATAGTCAGGACCCCCACAGGACCATTGCAGAGCAGGTATTATTAGGTGGTGGGTCATTCTCAGCACTGCATGTGCTGCTGGTGTGTTAGTGTGTGTTGCGCTGGCACGAGTGGATCAGTCACAGCAGTGCTGCTGGAGTTTTTAAACACTATGTCCACTCACTGTCCACTCTATTAGACACTCCTACCTTGTCAGTCCACCTTGTAGATGTAAAGTCAGAGACGATAGCTCATCTGCTGCTGCACAGTTTGTGTTGGTCATCCTCTAGTCCTTCACCAGTGGTCACAGGACGCTGCCCACAGGACGCTGTTGGCTGGATATTTTTGATTGGTGGACTATTCTCAGTCCAGCAGTGACACTGAGGTGTTTAAAAACTCCAGCAGCACTGCGAATACTGAAGAAGAGGGCAAATTGGGTTTAACAAATTATACATAGAAACAAATGGACTACAGTCTGTAGTTGTAAAGCAACCAATGGACAATGACTGTAAATAAAATGTAGGTTTACCATAAAGTGGCCTGCTGTTAGTACTGACCAGTAATACATGTTTCACTCAGGTATCGACTTGGAGAACATCGTCTATTATAAGGATGACACTCATTACTTCGTCATGACGGCCAAAAAGCAGAGTCTACTGGAGAAGGGAGTCATCCTGCGAGTGAGTTCTGATCTGAATAGCTTGTGTAAGTGTATATTTGTATGTGTCGCTAACTTTGGTCATCTTTTTTATGCAGGATTATGCAGACACAGAGATGTTGCTCTCTCGAGGTAACGTTGACCAGAATGCACTGCTGGTGTATGCCCGGCAGGCAGCAGACTTCTCCACCAATCACCAGCTTCCGACACTGGACTTTGCCATCAACCACTACGGGCAGCCAGACGTGGCTATGTTTGACTTCACCTGCATGTACGCGTCTGAGAATGCAGCGCTGGTACGCCAGCGTAGGGGGCATCCTCTGCTGGTCGCGCTGGTGGGAGACAGTCTGCTGGAGGTGAGAAGGACAAGCATGTCTCTGTGGTCAGGTTTGAACATAGTTGCTGCACTGTAATGCTGGATTACTGGACCCATGCATGCACTAAAACATTGGGCTTAAAGGGCAATTCTACTGATTTAAAAAAAAATCTGCATAATTAAATGGTTGAGTTTTTTATGTGAAATAAAAACTCAACCATTTTAGTGAAGAGTACAGAGTCAGAACTGCTCACAGTGGTGGTGATAGGAACCAGACGTCTGAAGACTTTAACTCCTCTAAAAGCTCCGTCACTGAAAATCATTACATGAAATGATTATAAATATGCTGCCTGATACCTCAGACATGGATAGCTTTGCAATAAGCAATTTTGGCCTAAACCTTATTTTTTATTCCATTTGTGGTGGAGGAGTACATGGATAGTGTTCTAAGGAAAATAGTACCCAAATAAAATGTATTTTTCCAAATTTACCACTATTTTACCATCATCAACATTACAATAAATAAAATTTGTGTTGTAGACATGGCAACACCTATTTCCTGTAACCACCTACATAAAGAACTCTGAGTCTGTACATTTCTTTACAATGAACCATCAAAATGCTTTGAATAACTTCGTTTGCATCTCAGCAATAAAACTATGCTGATATTTTGAAAAATCAGTGGAATTCCCCTTTAATTTCTCTCTCTGATACCAGACTCATCGCTGTCAGCTACAGCTGCATAATAATTGCATTTATTTGATTGATATTAAGATAGCAAATCACTGATTATGATAAACTGTGATTGGTTTGTTTCAGCAGAGATACTAGCTGAAAAATGAAAACCATCATTACATCTGATATAAACATGCCTACGTGCCTCCTACAGTGCTGCCACAACTCTAGACTAAGATTTTCTGCGGACGTATCTTGAAGGTGGCAGGAACAATTGGAAACTTACAAAGACTTTGTGATGGATTTTTTTGGTGCTGGTCCGTTTAGAATTTATTATTTTTTGTTATCTTGTGAAAGCAGAGGGAATGCAGACAGATAACATTACTGCTGAGAAGCTGAACATCACGTCTGTATGACATATTTCCATTATGCATGCTGGGTATTGTAGTGAGAGAACAGTAACACAGACAGAAACACAGACAGAAACACAAAATTGTGAATTCTGTCAAACCAATGAGGCTGAGAGAGGCCAAGCTGTGCTACAGAATTCTGCATCACTAATAAAACAAATGACATGTCAATTGCTAGTTTTAGGCCAGAATGCCCCTTTAATTGTCAGCCCTTTTTAATTAACTGATTGCTGAAACCAAATTTATGAATATTGTTTTGTACACAAAGTAGGGGTGGGCAATATGACAAAAATATTATATCATGATACTTCAAGGTATTTTCACGATATACATTATGCATCATGATACTTAGTTTTCCTGAGATTTATGAAGTTGGAACAGACAAAATAAAACCTGTAGTGCCACATGTAAAAAATATAATAGTAATAGTAATAAATCTACAGCTACAGTGATTTTTTTTTTAATATTTTACAAACTGCACTTCACTAAATCCAATTAAAGTGTCCTTATTATGCTATTTACACCAATCAGGCATAACATTATGACCACCTCCTTGTTTCTATGCTCATTGTCCATTTTATCAGCTCCACTTACTATATAGGTGCACTTTGTAGTTCTACTATTACAGACTGTAGTCCATCTGTTTCTCTGCATACTTTGTTAGCCCCCTTTTACCCTGTTCTTTAGTGGTCAGGACCCCCATGGACCCTCACAGAGCAGGTACTATTTGGGAGGTGGGTCATTCTCAGCACCGCAGTAACACTGATGTGGTGGTGGTGTGTTAGTGTGTGTTGTGCTGGTCTGAGTGGATCAGACACAGCAGTGCTGCTGGAGTTTTTAAACACCTCAGTGTCACTGCTGGACTGGGAAAAGTCCACCAACCAAAAATATGATGACAACTGGTTTGTTACAGTCTGTACATCTATATAGTGGACCTATAAGGTAGGCGGACATAATGAAGTGGCAAATGAAGTACAAGACGCTCATGAAGTGGATATTGAGTGAATATGTATTTCTGTATTGCTCTTTTCTTTAGCCTTTCTGGCCAATGGGGACAGGCATTGCTCGAGGTTTCCTGGCTGCTGTGGATACGGGGTGGATGGTTCGCAGTTGGGGATTGGGTGCTGCCCCTTTAGAGGTGCTGGCTGAGAGGTTGGAGCTGGCCTTTAGTCTGCTGGAATGATTTATTATATGTATGTCTGTGAAGATTTGGCATGAATTAATGATTTTTTCCCCTCTTTCTCTCAGAGAGAGTGTGTATCGGTTGCTTCCTCAGACAACGCCAGAGAATGTCAGTAAGAATTACAGCCAGTACAGCCTGGACCCTGCTACACGCTACCCCAACATCAACACGCAGCTCATCAGTCCAGCTCAGGTTAGTTAGATACACACACCATTAAGGTGCATACATATACTATCAGCACTCAAGTCGGTTTTGTGTGCCTCACTGAAAGATAGGAAGCTGCTCATTCTTTAAGGTAGGCCTTAAGTTGTAGTATTTACCTAAAGAACCCATATTTGTCTTGAATTTTTTCCCTCAGAGGTCCATGTATGACATAGATATGTGGTTTTATTTACTAAAAACAGTCGTAGTTCAATTTGTATGACCACTTTCTAACCTCTCTTCATGCCTTAAAATTAAGCAGACTGTTTTTTTACTGTGCCTTTAAGACTGATATTTTCCCTATATTGTGCCTCATTCAAAAACACTCCTTATACCTCAGCTTGAATGGGCAGAGCTAAATGGCTGTAGGCTGAATAGGTAGATATATGTAAATAAACTGGTTTTCCTTTTTGGTAGCACATTATCTATCAGTCTAAAGAACCCTTTTGCAGTGCAAAGAACCTTTTAAACATGCATAGGCTTCTTTGAGTGTTCATGGTTCTGTATAGAATCGTTTTCTTTACCGAAGAACCCTCGAAGATCTTTTTAAGAGTAGACTCCATCGTTCTGTAGCATAAAGTATCACCTTTTCATGAACATATTAAAGGATCCCTTTCCTAGATTTTTTTTTTGTATCTTATTTTTTCCCCCGCCATTCACTTGTGACGCTGATGTGGTTATATACACTAAAAAAGCCATAATTCATTTTTGCATTATGTTTTCCAACTGTTAGAATTAAATGGGTTGAAAGATAATTTAAGACATAAGATATAAGAATGAACTTTGTTCTGATTGGCTGTCCTGTATTGTGCCTCATTCCAAAAACAGTCCAAGCTAAAACGCTCCTTATAATTTTAGCATGAATGGGCGGAGCCAAACAGCTGTAGGCTGAATAGGCGGAGACATGTAAATAAGCTGGTTTTCATAACATCAGAGAAGCAGAGAATTCACAATGGACTGTTTTTGCAGCTTAATTTCCATGTATGGACTGTATGGACTGTTTACACACTACATCAAACCCTTTTATTAGAAGAAAGTGAGGGCCCTTTAACGATTCACTATGAGGTCACAAAATACACAGTAAAGAATACCCTACGTTAATGACTGCTCTCCTGCTGCTTTGAGTCCCAGCCAAAACTGCAAGCAATTAGGTTATTTAAGCTTTTCTAAGTTTGCTTGTTATGAAATTTTATTATGCCATTGTTTGTATCGTAGCTATAGATGCTGCTTCCCACTTGCATTAGCCAAATGTTGCAGGACCTTCCTATAAGCTATTAACTTCATTTACGAGAGCTTGTTAGCTAGTGGTCCACTTTAACTGTAGTAATAAAGTGGTATATTAGCTTAGTGTTACGTGAGTGATCTTACCCCCAAGCTCAAACGTGCAGAACTGAACCACACTGATGAGCGGTGTCACTCACCGCTGACACTGGTGCAGCTGCAGCTTGGAATTTTAGAGTATTCATCAACTATTACATTGTTTTCATATATATATATATACATATATATATCTTGAATAATCTTTTTCCACAGCATATCTTTCCTGTAACAAACAATTTGAAACCATGTTGACAGGGGCTTTAAGAAAAGAGCAGTTTTCTCTCTTAGATGCACACCAAACCTACTTGAATGCAAATAGTCTTACAAGCTTTTTGTCTTACAAATGTCACTGGTGTTGCATTACTCAGGTGTGTCACCTAATAGACTCAGATGAAGGGCCGATACTGGGAGCAGACATGGTCCTCTCTCCAACATCAATGCTCACACGGCAAGGTGAGAATGACACTGCACCTGCTGCATACCCCCACATACAAACACACGGGTGCACATGATTATTAAAGAGAGGGAAAAAGAGAGATTTACATGTGTGTTTTTGTGTGTGTGCAGATTCCACAGCTCGGTCGAATAAGCTGCTGAGCTGGTGCCAGGAGCAGACGGAGGGTTACAGGAGTGTGTGTGTGACTGACCTCACCACGTCCTGGAGGAACGGGCTGGCTTTATGTGCACTTATACACCGATACAGACCTGACCTCATGTGAGTTCACACACCTGTGTAGACTTGTGTGTGTAAGTGTGTGTGTGTGTGTGTGTGTGCATCTGTTAGTCTCTCTGCACATGCACTATATAGTGCTAAACTGAAATGGGTGGGATATACATTGCACATGCAGGTACATGCAAAATGTGGCATCCCTGGCCTGATGACGTCTTTTTGTTAATTTTTAAGTGAAAAGAACTAAAAGCAACCTCTGCAGGAAACTATTTAAAATAATACATTTCTGCAAATGTTTATTTATAGTTACTTTACATTTGATTAACTTAAAAAATAGGAAAAAAATAATTGTGGAATGTAGAAAGGTTTGGACACCCTTCCACTTCTGAAAAATCAAAACTTTATTAACTTGTTAGGAATTAATTGATTAAAAGACTGGTTAGACAGGTCAAGCACTGTCATTACAAATGGCTTAATAAATTCTTTCACTTATAAAACATTGTGCTAACACTCAAAAACCACGGGCTCCTCTAAGCAGCTGGTTATGGATCTTAAAATTAATCTAACTGATGCCTACAAAGCAGGTGAAGCCAATAAAAACATATCAGAGTGCTTCTAGCTTGTCTTTTGTATGGTCCAAAATTTCATGAAGAAATGGAAGTTAAGAGGAACTGTGGAAGTCAAGGCAAGACCTGGAAAACCAAGAAAGCTCTTAGATAGAACTGTTAGTACACTGCCCAGAAAGGCAAAGCAAAACCCCCACATGACAGCAAAGGTCCTGCAGGACAGTTTAGCTGTCATAGAAGAGGTGGCATATCATTCTACTGTGCAGTGTTGTTGAAGAGTTATGAGAAGGTAACCTGTGATCTCATCATGTAAGCCAACATCTGATGTACGCAAAACAACATCTAGATGAGCCAGAGGCAGTTTAGAAAGAACTGCAGCGGACTGGTGAAGTAAAAATGGAACTCTTTGGCCATAATCACCAAATATATATTTGAAGAAAAAAGAGCAGTATTTGATGAGAAGAACACCTTGCCAACTGTTAAGCATGGGGGTGGATCTATATGCTATAGGGTTGTGTGGCAGCCAGTGGCAGTGGAAACACTGCAGTGGTAGAAGGAAGAATGGCTTCCACTAAATATCAGCAAATTATGGAAGAAAATGTGACACAGTAAGTCAGGAAACTGAAGGTGAAAAGAGGCTGGCTTCTACAACAGGACAATGATGCAAAACATACCTCAAAATCCACCATGAACTACTTTAGGAAACGCAAGCTGAAGCTTTTTGAATCGTCCTCAGTTTTCTGACATGTTATCGATGCAAGATGGTCCAAGAATATTGCAGAGCTAGAAGTGCTCTGCAAGAAAGAGAGAAACTTCCTAAAACAAATAGTAACTCACATTAATATTTGTGGAAAAAAGTTGTTTTTTTTTTAATATGTTTTGCTGCAGAGGTTGTGTTTACTTCTTATCGCTTCAAAAATCATCATAATATTTTATGGGGAGAACAAACTTTGGCATGTAACTGTATGTTTGGTGTTTTTGATGCATGCTTGCAGTGATTACGACTGTCTGGAGGAGAGTGAGGCTGAGGTTAACTGGCAGTTAGGCTTGGACATAGCCGAACGGGAGTTTGGCGTATCCCCCATCATGACCATCCAAGAACTGAGCATGCTGGACGAGAGTGACTCACTCTGCATGGTGATGTACCTCAGCCAGCTCCACGACCTCCTTAAAGACACAGCGCCACTCAGTGGTGAGGAGCTACATTTATGAAAATCAGAATTCTCTTTAATGCACTAAAGTGGAACTAAGACTTAGATACTGATCTCCTTTCTCACCTTTCAGAGAGTCTTAGTCCAGAGGAGAGAGCTGCTCTGCTCTCTAGCACCAAGTCTCCAATGTGTTTACTCAACAGACTGGGACAGAGTCTGTCCCGCAAACGCAACCCCAAGGTACGCTATAAATACACACACACTCTACAAACCCAGCTCTGCTGTTTACCAGTGTATGATTCAACAATGCATTCATATCTGTCAGGATAAGAAAGAAAAAGATGAAGATGGAGTGGGCAAGAGAAGGAGAACAAGCCAAGCTGGCCTGTCGGAGGACGTGAGTGTTTTTTTCAAGGATACTTTGCTTAAAGACGCACTAAACAGTGTACACTGACCACTTTACTAGAAATGCCTCTATTGTGGTCAACCTTGCTGATGTACAGTTTGAGATTGGGGCTATAGATAGTATACGTTAGTCAGCCTCTAGGCCACAGGTTCCCAACCCTGTCCTGGAGAACCCCCTGCCCTGCACATTTCCCAGCATACTTGCTTCAACTCAGTAAGGTTTTGCTAATGAGCTGATTAGTTGGATCAGGTGTGTTGAGAGCAGGGGAGACACTAAAGTATGCAGGGCAAGGGGAACACCAGGACCATGGATGGAAACCACTGCTCTAGCCCTTCAACAGTAGTCAATTTCTGACCACAGAGTCGCTTTTGGCTGAATAATTCAGCAGTGACTCTGACATCTGTAACAACCCCTGCAATGCCGCTGTGTCTGATACACTTGTACTCGCACTGCACACATTATCATGCCAAGTCAAGTCAAGTGAAAGATTATTTATATACTTATATACTATATATTATCTGTGTCCAAGCCACCATGAGCTTCACCAGTGGTGACAGTGGCAAGGAAAACTCCCTAAAAACAAGAGGAGGAAACCCTGAGAGGAACACGACCCAATAGGGGAACCCATCCTTCTCTGGTCGACACCGGATAGTAAACAGTAACACAAGAGCAAAATGAACAGAGGATAAGGTTTTAACGTTAGTATGAAATATTAAAAATACAGAAAAGGGGAGAAACAGATGAAGCAATGGCTGTGATTAAATAGTTCAAGTCTTTGCAGCAGCAGCAGTATCATCACGAGGGTCAGTTCATGCGGGTGAGGTTTCCGCAGCAATATCACCATCATAAACTCACAGAAGAAAAAAACTCAAACTTTATGTGGCTTTTTTTTTTTACTTGCGGCACTTTGCCTGAAAATATGAACATACATCATCTAGAACTTGAAAAATATTTAAATCCTTCATTTAGTTGAGAATGTAGTTGGTTTCAGCATCGCTCCAAAAGTGTTTTGCTGCGTCTCGCGGCGAAGCTGCTTGCTTATTTCCAATACAGCAGTCTGTTTTCACACACGCGCAGACTGAGAAATATGAAAGAAATCAGAGTAAGAGTTTACAAGCACTGAGAAATCTGATTATTGAGCTAAAATCCAGCTCTCTTTATCGGATTTCTCAATTGGATTTCTAGATCAGAGTATGGTGTTTACATGACCATTTGAGTAATCGGATAACTGCAGAAATCCGATAATGATCGGATTATTGAGCGCATGTAAACACATTCATTGAAACCGCTGTTGTACGCCTAATTTGATTTTTCAGATGGCAAAATGTGACATTTTATTCACTCTTGTTTAATTTTTGCTAAATTTCACAGGTGACATACTCACTCCACTAATCTGTTGTCTCTGTGGTGCTCATCACGTCTGGTGCAAAGTTTTGTAGACAATTAAAAGGCACTTTTAATATATGATTCTGTTGTTGACATCTTGCTGAAATTTGTTGTTAACTCGCTTTACAAAAATGTACTGTAGTGCACTTTTAAAGCAACCTTCCCAACCCTGTCAACAGTGGTCCTGTGATCAGAAACTGACCAGTGATAAATGGGGTAGATGGTGGCTGACAAATTGTGCATGGACTACAGTCTCTATAGGCCTTAAAGTAGGTGGACCTCTTAAAGTGGTCAGTGAGTGCAAGCACAAGGTAGGTGGATGGTGAGTGTAAGCTTCTCTTTATTTGTCCATTTTCTTTCCCCACAACAGGAGGAGGGTCCGAAAGATCACCGTGATGGCCATGACCAGGCAGTGTCACCTGGCTCAGAGTCCAGGACGGTGACGGTTGCTGGCGGTAACCAGAGCAGAGTCAGGTCGATGGCGACGCAGTTGTTGGCCAAGTTTGAAGAAAACGCCCCATCACCTTCGGTCACTGCGATGCGGAGACAGGTGTTTGTGTGTGTGTGCGTGTTGGCGTGCGTGTCTGTGTTGGTGTTCTGTAGGTCATTGTGTGCGTTTGTGTGCGTTTGTCTGACTGTTTGGATTCGTGTGTTTGATCTTTGAGGACTGTTATGCTAATAGAGCGCTGTCAGTCATTGCTTGGTGGGTAGTGAGGTGCTGCAGTGATGGACTGAATGCTGCCGGACGTAGTCTCTGCTTTTAGAAGATTCCGGTTGAGGTTAACTGGTAAAGCAGACTTGCTGCTACTGTTACTGCTATAGAACAGTGTGTGCTGTGTAGCTGAGACTGAGCGATCACTGCTGTAGTGATTCAGTGTCTTAATCTGGGAATGATGTTGTTTGGTGGTTGCAGTAATATAGAAACTGCATTGTAGTCAGGCCTGTCACAATTATTATGTAATCACAGTTTTTTGAGATGATCATAATTATCATATTAATGAAGCACTGAGCATTTGATGTATGCAGCCACATGCAAAGGTTTAGCCAAATAATGTTTATTTTGATTGTGTAAATAAATTAACATATCCTCTATAGAGAACACACTTCTGCACATTTTAATGCACAGTTACTGTTTAGTTGTGCAATTTAACATATTGGAAAAAAATTAAAACACAGAATGTGACCTGTGCAGAAGTTATGACTATTTTTTGTTTATTTTTTTTTATATTTTAAAGTAAATAGAATAAATACATAAGTAAGTAAGTAAGTAAGTAAGAAAGTAAGTAAATAAATAAATAAATAAATATAAATTGTGCAGTAACATTTGCACAAAAATGCCAGTTGTAAGTTTGTTCCCTGTAGAGGGCAATGACTGGTGACTGGGGGGTTCAAACTTTTGCATGTGACTGTATACTTTTGTTTTTTTTCTCTTAACGTATCTTTTCTTCATTCTGTGTTGTTTTCCTTTAATATTTTCAGACTTGTTTAGTTTCTTGTAGATTTAGTTGTTTGTTTACAGTGATTTAGAGTCAGACAAATCGTGGAATTACAACTAAAGCTGAAGTTAAACTGAACCTCAAATAAAATGCTAAATGACCAAATAAAAAAATGTTCATTTCAATGTACCACCCTTCCCGACCCTGTTATAGAAGTAGAACTGAAATGACCGTGGAGCAAATAGTTGAGCAAAATGGTTGATGATGTTTAGGTCAGATGATACTGTTCAGTTGTCATCAGCTTAAGAAAGAACACGAGACAATTAGTCGCTCGTCTAGTGACTGGAGTCCTTATTTTAGTCTCAATATTAAGGAGAAATTTTTATTTCTATTTAACACCCGCAGATGCTTACATGCTTTTGAATTGCTGTTGTTCTAATATTCTATTGACATGACTTTTAAGATCAGGGCACTAAAAATGATGTACTTAGATAAAAATACTTGGCTTGTTATCAATTATTCAGGGCCCATATCTTGGAAAACTGAATTTTCCTCACTTTTTAACAAATAAGGTGTTGATGTAGTCTGTAAACATTGTTTTAAAGCAAACTGTTCACTCCCCTTCAAAAGCAGCCTGTTATAAATTTTTTGTGATAAAAAATTTGTTAAAAATTTTATAAATTTTGAAACATTTTCATATTTCCACGTATTTAACCTACCGTAGTTTAGCTCAGTCTACTCACGCTAATGTTATAAGGAGAATCTCAGCCCAGACTGCTTTTTCAATGCAGGGCAGCCAAATTCAACAACAGACTCATTTACATTTATCAATAATAAAGGCACGGCGGCAAAAACAGCCTGTTTATTCTAAAGGACAAAGAGAGGTTAGGTGTAATAAATGGTGATGAGTGTTTTTGAGCATAAAACCACACAAATGTCATAAGTGGCTCTCAGAGGAATCAAAAAATCCAAGAAAAATGTAGGATATGGACCCTTTAAGTAAAAGAGGAAGTCACTGCTGTCGGAACAAAACCAAAATGGTAACTTTACAGCAGAAGGAAAAACATACTTTGCTTTTCATGTAAGTCAATGGAACCAGACTTTCTTCCAAGTAAGTTTAGGCAATTTCTTTTGGTCCAGTCATCATGAAATTTACACACAATGTAAAGAGCAACAGGCATTTTCAAATTATGTGAAAAACTGAAAAATTATTACAAAATGGAGATACGAGGTTTTGTTCCGACAGCAGTGAAGTACATTAGAGAAGGTCTGCTATTATGAAATTATTTCTTATGAACTGATATTATGTGCCAAAAATGCTCATTATTTGATCATCTACAATAACTGCTGAAGTCTTACAATGATTGATTCAAGTGTAAATTAAGCACAGTGTAGCAGATCAGAGAAATTATAGTGCCCTCTAGAGAAAAAATGCACTTTTCATCATAGTATTTCTTTAAAGGGGAACTCCACCCATTTTTCAAAACTTTCTGCATAATTAAATGGTTGAGATGTAACAAAGTTATTCCGAGTGGTTTGGTTTGAAATGCTCCATTCTAGAGAAATTTACAGTCAGAGTTGTTCACAGTGGTGGTGATGGGAACAAGACGCCCACCTCTAAAAGCTCCCTTGCAGAAAGTTATTAAGTTACATTAAATGCTTATGAATACTTATGTCTGAGACATTAAGGTAGTTTTGTGACAAAGTTTTGGCCTAAAACGTATTTTAATCAATCTGTTAATAGTTTAGGGATACATGAAGGGTGTTCTAAGCAAAGCAGACCCCAAAGAAAACTTTTTTTCAGATTCATGACTATTTTACCATTTGCGACATTACATATAACAATTTAGAAGACACATGTAGGCTCACTGGTGGTTTGGATAGTAAATAAAATGGCTGTATTTGTGATGTAGACATGGCGACCCCGGTTCCTATCACCACTACTGTCTCTACAATGAACCATTTCATGTCATTTATGTCAAACCAACCTGAGCAACTTTGTTTAGATCTCAGCCACTGAAATACGCAGACATTTTGAAAATTTGGTGGGATTCCTCTTTGCTGTGAAGGTTCCAGCAGTCTTTATTTTGTTTACAGTGGGTCAAGCACAGCCACAGCCATGGAATAACAAATAAAATGAATGTAAAATCTAAATTTAAATAGTTGAATTAGAAGGTAATTTCAATATACTACCCTCCCTGACCCTCCCATGTAAGTGGAAATAAAATTTAATTAGTTTTGCAACCACTGAATATTTTAAAACGATTCAAATCAATTCATTTTCACAAGTTCTTCTTTGTGATGTTTTATGAATAACATAATAACAAATCTATTAAGTACTTATTTTTTATTGGCTTGGCCAAATATCTATATATATACATATCTATAGCCAGTGCTAGCTCCCACAGCTCTCTCTGGACTTTTGTAGCTCTTCTGTAATTAACCATTTGATCTGCCATGCCCATGCCAGAGTGGCTCCATGCCAAATCTGGACCAAATCACGTGTGCTTCTCCTCTCCCCGAACCTCCGAGTGAACCTGTGCCTCCAGCCCCAGTTCCTGCATGGAGAAAGGTATGCACCGAATGCGTCCCCCAAGACCCCCTTTGAGGTAGTAGACGTACTCGCGTGAATCTTGATTTTCAGATAATGGTGCTGTGCATTGTGGAGCAGGTGTGATGTCCCTGTGTGCTCTGTCTAGAAAAAGCGTACGCAGCAGCAGGAGCTGATGAGCTTCCGCTACAAGGAAATGATCAAAGTGCACTCTCTGCCCAGCAGAAGCGAGCAGGTAAAGACACCTGTGCCATAGAGCAGGATAGGTAGTGTAGACTGTTCACTTAGTGACCTCACGTAGTGACCTCTCGTATCTTTTCCCCACTGTGGCCTGTGATGAGTTATCAGTTATGCTGGTGTTTCTGTTCTATAGGTAGCTAAACAGCTCATGTGTTAGTGCTGTGTGTGTTTGCATCATGCCTCTTGTTTAGTACTTTTAGTACTCTTTGATTAGTACAAATGTTTATCAGTTGCAAATAAGAGAACAATGTGCTCCTGTTTGTGCAACTTTCTGACCGTTATTTTAGAGCTGGTTTTATTTTGTTTGACCTGCGGTCTCTGAATCGTGTGAATGCCTTGTGAGGGAGAGAGCGAGTGTGTGTGTGTGTGTGTGTTCGAGCCTGGGGTGTTCTAAGTTGCAACGAAGGTTGTGTTCTATGTGTTTTTATTATTAGTGACCGCAAGGCAATGAACATGTGATGTGGAGTAGTTTAACTGAACAGTTTTCACAAACTGAATGATTGTATCAGTGACTGACTGGTGCTGTGGTAGATTCAAGGAGAGCACAGAGTAGAGCCTGACCAGTATATTGATTGGCTGAAAATACTGGCTGATATTGATGGCCAATGAAAAATGAAATTCATACTCATGAGCTTCCAACGACAGGTTTTTACCTTAGACAGTTGAACACCTTCTATGTAACTATAATATTTTGTTGATGTCGGAACAAAACCTTGTATTTCCAAAATGCTAACTTTACAGGAAAAGGAAAAAACCTACTTTATTTAAGTCAATGGAACCAGACGTTTTTCCAAGTTACTTCGGCTCATTTCTTTCATCCATTCGTCATGAAATCTACACACAATGGCCAACAGGCATTTTCAAATCATATCAAAAAACAGAAAAATGACACAAATGGAGTTACGTGGTTTTGTTCCAATAGCAGCGATATAGTGGTGTTATGAGTAATTCATTTTTTCAATGCATAGTTTAGAATTCCTCTGATTTAACTGCATCGATCATAAAAGAAAAAAAAAAATCAGAATTGTTTACATTGATCAAAGCTGCACTATGTAAGATTGTGGGATTTGGATCACATCTTCATCAGTATTATGTTGATTTTGCATTTGAGTTGTAAATATAGAGGCAAAAAAAGTCCGTGTGTGTGACGTTCATACATTAAGACGTGTGATGTGGTCTAAAAACTCCTGTGAAATCCTACCCAACTTAACCCTTGTGTGGTGTTGATGTGTTTGTTACTCAGTGGTCTGGTGACCCACCCCACAATTGTTTTTTTTTTAATCAATACAGCCAAAACAATTTATGTAAAAATACCAGATGTTTAAAATATCATAAGTGTCCAGAGTAGGGTTCTCCTTTAGCAGCTGTAGCCAGTCAGCAGCCTGTCCATGTTGTCCACCCTCACACACAAACACACACAAACACACATGGATTATTTTATATGTTCTTCACAGGAAATGAGCAAAGGCCAAGAAATCTGAGGTTGAAATAATAATAAATCGCATCATTTTTTCTTTATATAAACATACGCACACTGTATTTTAGCATGTTTTTTCCTCCTGACTCAGTAATGCTACTTCTTTTTGAATTTAACAAAAAATCTTACATAGTGCAGCTTTAATTGCTAAAAATGAATGATGAATTCATCAAAATAAACATGTAACCTACCTGTTGTGATTAGCCATTTTCTTCCATCTTCGGTGCTTGAGTGGCTCAGGCAGCATTCACAGGCTCACCTTGGATGTGAATGATGAAGGAAATGCTGAATGAGAGATTTACACACCAGTGTTCAGCCCTGCTGATCCTAAACAAACCAAACAACAGCCATGTTCATTTTTGCAACTTGAACTTTGACAACTCTCACTACATATGTAGATACTTTGAAGAGAAGCCACTAATAATTATGTAATACTGAAACTCATACACATACATGATACACGCCATTCATTCTCTGTTTTAGCTTAAACAGCTTGATTTTGTAGAGTTGGTGTGAAGAATATAGTAGTGCAAGCTGCTGTGAACCCAAACAAAGCTCTCTTTATTTGGAAGAACCCACGACATGCAGGCTACACTGAACTTGAACTCACAAAACACGACTTAACTGCAGCAGCCCAGCTAAACAGCGTGCGCTCCTCAGAGCGGCCTGAGTGGAATTCCTTTAATGAACTATAAAACTGCTTAAAGAAAGTTGCATCGCTGAATTGCGTTGAAAATCAAATTGCTAATGTAATAATCATATTAAGTGTATTTAAATCAAATCAAATCGGTCTTTATCCACAAAAGTCGCTTTTGAATCGAATCAAAAACCAATGAATCATGAATTGGATGAAGTTGATACACTGTCATCTCAGAGATTCACACCCCTATATGATAGTAGTCCACTGCAATAAATGTACTCTTGAAGAGTGAAAACACCTTAAATCCAGTCAGTATGTCTAGTATTTCTCTTTATCATATTTGCTACATTTTAAAGTCATTTTGTTAAGTGAACTTTTTATCTGGTAAGGTCGTTTTAACTTATTCTATTGGCAGATATTTTTTCTTAGACATGATACAACAATCAAGGAATCTGTCGATAGAATAAGACACTTTCACAAGATAAAATGACTTACAAGTATGACATTTCTAGAATTTGGCAAGGCAAGTTTATTAATATAGCACTTTTAATAAACAGAGCTAATTTAAAATGTTTGACAAACATAAAAGCAAAACCAAAAAAACATAAAAAAGGAAATTGGAGACAAAGTGTTTGTGTTGTTAAATTTAAATGAAAAGCTTAGTAAGAAAACAGAATAAAAAATGAAAATGAACATAAATGAGGCAAGTAAATATAAATGCTGTAAATAGATGCAATGCTGAAAATAAAGTGCACTAAGAATAAAGTCCAAGCTAGACAGAATAAGCTAAAATCCTCTTTTTATATTCTTACAGTAATATCATAATGAGGAATATTAGAAATACTGACCACATTTAGATGTCATTTTTTATAACCTGATAGTTTTGTGGGCTGAAAATGAAATGAGAAATGAATAATAAAGAATAATGTGATTCTTTTATGCAGAGAATTCAAATCAAGTCAAAGTTTATTTATATAGTGCTTTTTATAACATGCGTTGTCACAAAGCAGCTTTGCAGAAAAAATTCTGGGTCCGAGCCCCCCATGAGCAAGCCAGTGGTGACAGTGGGATGACGGTACCAACCCTTCCAGTTTACCATAATACTTTACGTCCATGACCCCCAGATCTGCACCTTTTATCTAACAGGGGAAACTAATTACCAAAGGCTCGACTAAACAAGTAGGTTTTTAGCCTAGACTTAAAGACTTAAAGAGTCCTGAACACTGACTGGAAGATTATTTCAAAGCTGGGGGGCTTTGTATGAGGAGGCTCTCCCCCTGATGTAACTTTATTAATTCTAGGTACTAATAGTGAGCCAGCACATTGTGATCTAAGTAGGCATGATGGTTCACTCAGGTACTGAGGGTTCATTTAGAGCTTTATATGCCAGTAAAACATTTTTGTACTCAATGCGGAATTTAACTGGCAACCAGTGCAGGTTTGATAAAACTGGGCTGATATGGTCGAATCTTCTAGTTCTTGTAAGGACTCTGGCTGCAGCGTTCTGAATTAAATAAAGCTTTATGAAGAGAATTAATGGAAAATAAAAGCTAATTAACAGAATATTGTAAAGAATTATGGGCGGCCCCACCCCTAGTGCTTCAATATTGTATATCATTTAAGGCAATTTGAGTTTCTGCTGTTTTTAATTGCATTTAAGAAGTGTGACAACTGAGAACTGACGGTCATATCAGTCAGTAAAACACTATTTAATTAAACCTATTGGAGTCAACATTTAAAATCTGATATATAAATCTAAAATTAGACCGGCTGATTACCAGAGTGATTATCAGAGTTATTATTAGCTCCTTAAAATTGGTGTCGGATGCATATCAGTTGGGCACTAATACAGAAAGTTAATTCCCCACTGATAGAACTGGCATAATGAGAGCAGCTGTACTTGTATGTGAGTGCAAGGAAGCATCATTTCCAATAAATTCATTTTTATTTTTTTTCTATTTGAATGTGTTGCCGTAAATGAATTGAAGCCATTCATCACGTCATTTCCGTCTCATGCATTTCTTCCTCCATGTTTGTCTCTCATTGGTAGAGGTACATTAAGATGTACACAGGGGGAGTGAGCTCATTGGCTGAGCAGATAGCCAATCAGCTCCACAGACAGCAGGATGACCTCAAGCCCCTTCTTGACAAGCGGGAGCTGGTAAGCTCATGCTTAACACTGAGTGTGTGCGTGTGAACCAGTTACCGCAGCTTTACTAGTACACCAGTTTGGCTCACACTGTGTTTGTGTGTCTGTCTGTCTGTCTTTGTAATCCAATTTCTCTACACAGACTGCAGCTTTGTGAGATTTCACCTGTGCGTCTCTGCCAGAGTGCAGCACTGCAGATAACTGCCGTGTGTTCAGCACAGCAAATGCCTTAACCCTCTAACGCTGCGCAGTAATCTTTCATCTTTAATACAGACAATAAAATGTACGGTACAGTGCAAAAGCCAGAGACTGCCCTTTATTTTATGAATTTCCAGTCAAAACAGCCATTAAGTAAACCTTATTCCTTTTTCAAGAGATATTTCTGAGGAGATCAGGTATAAGACCATTTACCTGCATAAGGAAGGTGAAAGTCAAGGAAAACAAGTGAAAAAATAGAAGTTTCCAAAACTGGAGAAACAGCGATGCAGAGAAAATGAGACTCCTAACAACCGTGCAAGACCTGGTAGACACTAAAACTGTCCCCATCAGATAAACAGCACTTACATCTTTGAGAGAGACGAGAAAATCAAGCTGCTTCAGATCTGAAAACATCCACAGGTGTTTCTGTCCATCCTTCCACTGTGAGAAGACAACTCAGCGCTATGGGTCTGAAAGGATGTGTAGCTGTGAAAAGGAGAGAAAAGGAGACACATCGAACAAAGAAGCTGCTGGTGTTCTCAGAACAGTGTACTGACCACCCCAGAGTCCAGAACTCAACATCACTGAATGTGTTCATTACCTTGACTGAGAGAAGCAGAACATGCTAAATGAGCTTCTGAGACTGAACTCTGGAGGTGTGAAAATATCCCTGCAGATTTCTTTGTAAAACTGAATATGAGTCTCCTGAAAAGAGGAGAAGCTGTAATAAAGGTAAAGTGTGGACACTAAATACTGAAATTGCCATATAATGTTTAGTTCTTGAGGCTTTTGTTGACTGTAAATGAAGCAGTTGAAGGGTGTTCTCTGTCTTTTGCATAGTATATAATAATATACATTTATGCCTATTTAACCAAACATTTGCCAGTTTGCCTTGTTGAAGCCACCATGTCTGAAGGGCACTTTTGAAAAGGGTTCTTGCTTGACATCATAACAATAGAAGAACCCTTTTTAGTGCTGTATAGAACCATCACAGCACATTCTCCATTAATCTGAAGAATCTGTTTGCTTTGCAAAGAACCCTTTAATCATGCAAAGGGTTCTTTGAATGTTCATGGTTCTATATAAAACCATTTTCTTTACTGAAAAGAACCATCTTTGTACACTCCATTGTTATGCAGCCTACAGTGGAGTATCACCATTCCATGAACACATTAAAGGACCCATATCCTAGATGTTTTTTGTATTTTATTTTTTCCTCTGCCATTCACTTGTGATGTTTATATGGTTATATACACTAAAAAAGTCATCATTCATTTTTACATTATGTTTTCCAACCATTAGAATTAAACGGGTTAAGAAATAATTTAAGACAGAAGATATAAGATGACTGAACTCTGTTCTGATTGGCTGTCCTGTATTGTGCATCATTCCAAAAGCACTCAGAGCTGAAACAATCCTTACAACTTCAGTGGGAATGGGTGGAGCTAAACTGTTGTAGGCGGAAATATGTAAATTAGTTGGTTATTTCAGGAGCAATGAACTAAAAAAATTAGAAACAGGCTGTTTTTTGCAGCATAGTTTCCATATATGGACTGGGGAGTGGATGGTATGTTTTGAAGGTTTAACAATAGCCACGTTTACATGCAGCCTGATAATCCGTTAATAATCCGACTAATAGCTCAATCGGAATAGAATACGTCCATGTAAACACCTCAATCGGAATAGTCTAATCCGATTGAGGCCATTCGGAATACAATTTCTATCCGATTAAACGAGGTGGGTAAACTTCTAAATAATCCGTTAAATATAAGAATAATAGCCATGTAAACGCCTGAATCCGATTACATTCCAATCGGAACGTGTAAGTATGTTCTGCGCATGTGCGTCGCGTCACGGCGAAAGTTTACACCGCTCAACATGGCGGAGCAGAAACTGGTCTGGACCTCACGTGATGTTCGCTGTCATGGTAACGTTTACTCTAAGCGCTACTCCACGCATGCGCGTCATTTTGCATCGGATTACTTGTAGTGAGCATGTAAACGAAGATTTTCCATCAGATTGTTGAATAGAGTGCATATAAACACCTCAGTCTAAATCTGTAATCGGATTGTATTCAATCGGATTGGCAAAAATCGTTGCATGTAAACATAGCCAATGTTTATATATTAGCTTATATCAAACTCTTTTATATAAAAAAGTGAGACAAATTCAGTTTTCCATGATATGGGCCCTTTAGAAACAGCAGAAAATTGTTGACTCAAATGCAAAAAAGTGAGCAATTGGTATAATATAGGTACTGAAGCAATACATTTTCTTTTGCTAAGTATGGAGAAAACATGTCAAAATTGATATGTGTGGTATTCGACTGTGTAATACAGATGTGACATATAAAGATTCTTCTGAAAAACACTTCAGTATTCTTTCATAAGCTTTTGACTGTTCCCTTTAACCTGTATCCTGCAGGGCTCTCAGCGGAAGGAGTTCCCGGTGAGCGTGGGTGGCAGCGATGTGTGTTACTTCTGCAGCCGGCGAGTGTATGTGATGGAGAGACTGAGCGCCGAGGGGAAGTTTTTCCACAGGAGCTGCTTCCAGTGTGACCACTGCAACTCCACACTGCGTATCTCCAACTACACCTATGACCAGCTCCAAGGTGTGTTTACTGTCTTGCTCTCTTTGTGAAGACCAAATATTCCCAGAGTCAAATATGAAAATACAATGTACAGCAGGAAGTTTCCATTCCAACCAACAGGAGCTCATATTATATAACTTACCAACTGTTTCAAGACTGAGAGCAACTGATTAAGGGTGTTTCTGCAACAACCGGCCCTTTTGGCTGTACAAATGTTTAGAAAATGAACCTCAACAAAAATGAATTTTGAGTATGAGAGTCTGTAGTACAAATAATGAGCTATACAAATGCATGTAATTTCAAACTGTTAATCTGAGCTGAATTTGTCTTTACAGTGAATTCAATCCGATTTGAATTTGTCTCTACAGTGAATTTAATTCAATTTGAATGTCTTTATAGTGAATTTAATCCAATTAGATTTTTTCTATACAGTGAATTTAATCTGAATTGAATTTGTCTCTACAGTGAATTTAATCCGATTTAAATTTGTCTTTATAGTGAATTTAATCCGAACTGAATTTGTCTTTGCAGTGAATTTAATCTAAATTGAATTTGTCTTTATAGTGAATTTAATCTAAATTGAATTTGTCTTTATGATGAATTTAATCTGATCTGAATTTGTCTTTACAGTGAACTTAATCCGATTTGAATTTGTCTTTGCAGTGAATTTGATCCGATTTGAATTTGTCTTTATAGTGAGTTTAATCTAAATTGAATTTGTCTTTACAGTGAATTTAATCCGATTTGAATTTGTCTCTACAGCACTCTAATCTTTTGCAATAAAAACATAAATACATATACATTTGTAATATACAGAATATGTAATATATAATAAACAAAAATATTACCATGTTAATACATTTATATGAACAGGTCAGTTTTTGACTACTGGATTAAATGTAGTTATAGAATACATAAACATACGAAATGAAGCTCACATGAAGATAAACGTGTAATATGAATGTAAAGGCTTCAGTTTTGCTGATAAAATATGTGGCTGCATTTTAAGGTATTTGACCTACGTTCTCTGGATGTGTTCACTCTGGCAGCACTTTGAGTAATAAAAATAATCACACAGCACTTACAGAATTTTCTGCCCTTAGTTGCAGTTATTTTGTGCTGCTGTTTCAGTAATTTTTTTTATGGCTCTTGTCACAAAGACTGCTGTTTTTACTGTGTCAGCTGGGTCTTGCCGTGGGCGACACTCGTCCCTTTGGACAAACTGCTCTGTTGTTTTGAATCTGCAGTCATAAGGTCTGATGTGTGTGTGTGTTAGGGAGGACAGGAGCATTATTGTTGGCCACAAGCGACACTGTCACACACACACACACACACACACACACACACACACACACACACACACACACTCACACACAGCACAATAGAGCTCTTGGCAAGCCGATACTTACAAGTATTTTTTTGAAAATCAAAATTAAAGCATCCTGCAAACATTCAGCCAATGGACTCTTCTGGGTCACATGAGTTGAAGATTTGAAAAAGAGGCGGTATTGGTTGGTCTTCTACCGCAATATAAATACAACTCTCAGCCTCGCTCACTAATTACACCATTCTTTTCGCTCTGTATGAGTAGGGAAGTTCTACTGTAAGCAGCACTACAGCTACAGGCTGGCGGGATTGGCTCAGAGGAAGAGGCCGGCTCCGACCCCGGCAGTTCGTCCTACTCAGGTACTGCTACTGCTGCCTTTGGCTTACACCAGTGGTCCCTAAACCTCTGGAGAAGTACTGCACTGCATATTTGATGTGTTCCCTGCCCAGGACTTGTTAATTTAGCTGATTAGTTGGATCAGTGGAGGGAAAATTGATCAAATTGTGCAGGCCGGAGGTACTCCTGGACCGCAAATGGGAACATCTATCTCACCCTCAGTCTGAGGCATGTGTCAGACTCCAGTCCTGGAGGGCCACAGCATTGCAAAGTTTAGTGTTTTCCTGATTTGAGACACCTAGTTATGCTATACCATACTATTATGACTACTTGAAAGGGGAATTCCACTGTCTTTTTAAAAATTCAGTGGTTGAGATGCAAACAAAGTCATTCAGAGTGGTCTGATGTGAAATGCTCATTTCAAGAAAAACTTGCTCGGATTTCTCTACAGTGGTGGTTATGGGAACCAGGAATTGTGAACTACAACACAAATATAGCCGTTTTATTTACTATGCACAACCATCAGTGAACCTACACGTGTCTTCTGAGTTCTTCTGTGTAATGTTGATGTTGTTAAAATAGTGGTAAAAAAAAAAGTCTTTAGAAAATATTTTGTCCTGTTTGTTCTCCTCCGCCATGCTTGGGGTTTATTGAAAGGTTTTAGGCCAAAACCTTCTCAAAACTGTCATAAAATAATATCTCTGATATCAGGCAGTGTATTCATAACCATAACTGTATGTAATAACTTTCTGTGAGTGTAGTAACCTTTTTTAAGAGGTGGACGCCTGGTTCCTGTCACCACCACTATGAAGAATACTGACTCAGCAGGTTTCGCTAGAATGGGGTATTTCACACCAAATCATTCTGAATGACTTTTTTCACATCTTAACCATTTAATTTAGTAAAAATGCTGAAAAATCGATGGAATTCCTTTTTAAGGAATTACCAGGCCTTTCATAAGTTTAATCAGGGTAAATACTACACCCTGCATTATTATGGCCCTCCAAGATCCGAGTCTCATTTATCAACTGCGCTGTTTTTGTACATAAACTGTGCATATTGTCAGGATCATTGGACAAAAACGTCATATCTCTAAAACTGTAACTTTACAGGAGAAGGAAAAAAACATCATTAATTTTTAATAGAAGCGAATGAGCGAAAGAGATTTTATTCCAAGCAATTTTGGACCATTCCTATTGTTTTTTTATCAACAAATTAAAGGCAGCTGGTATTTTCAAATTATGTAAAAAAAAATGAGAAATGATAAAAATGGAGAAGGTTTTGTTTCTATGTTCATTTCTATGCATAGAATGTATTTTATCAGTTTTCCTCTTGCAGATGAGAATGTGCATATATTTAGAAATAATAATAACCATGTGTAAGCAGAAACCCCTAGTGGTAGAAAAGAGTAAGTACAACAAAAGGGTGTAAATTTGGTTTGAAAAGCAGACGGGCAGAACAATCAATAAGTTAACAAATCCCCTATAGAGAACCCACTTCTGCACATTTTAATGCATAATTACTGTTTATTTGCTGCATTTAATATATTAGGTAAAAAACATAAAATGTGGTCTGTGCACAATGTATATTTAATTCAATCAAAATTTGCAGAAAAATAGCGTATTTTAAGTGTGTCTCTGAAGAGGATGTTAACTTATTTTCACTTAGAAAATTGACACACACAAACACACACACACACATATGTATATATATATATATATATATATATATATATATATATATATATATATATATATATATATATATTGCTGTTGTCGGAAGGAAATCTTGTATCTCCAAAATGGTAACTTGACAGGAAAAGTAAAAAACCTAATTTACTTTTAATGTAAGTCAATGGAACCAGAGTTTTTCCAAGTAATTTTGGGCCTTTTCTTTTGGTCCATTCTTCATGAAATTTACACACAATGTAAAAAGCAACAGGCATTTTCAAATTATGCGATAAACTGAAAAATGTCAAAAATGGAGATACGAGGTTTTCTTCCAGCAGTTGCGAAATATATATATATATATATATATATATATATATATATATATATATATATATATATGTGTATAATTTTTTAAAAGTATGTTTGTAGTTGTTTTAAATGTAAGAACTAAATTTTTGCACATAACTGTTCATGTATGTGACAGCTGGGATAGGCTCCAGCACCCCACCGCGACCCAGAAGGATAAGCGGTTTAGATGATGTATGTACATGTATGTTCTGATTCATGTTGTTCAAAACAAGCAGTCCATTAGTTATTGAGCCTTTCAAAGGGAAGTTGTTTACATTATATAAATATACAAACTCTCAATTATTCCATGCTATGGCCCTGAAAGGATGTACTTTGAGAGGTACCGTTGGAGAGGTGCATATGGGGCATTGTAAGGCAAAATAGACCCCAAAGGAAACTTATTCCACTATTATAGCTACTATTATAGAGTTATAAATATCGTGTAAAATCTCATAAGACGCATGTACATTCTTTGGTTAATTGGAATCGTAAATAAAATGGCTATATTTATGCTATATAGACACAACCCCTGGTTCCCATCACCACCACTGTAAAGAAATCAGAACATTCTCTACATTTCACATCAAACCACTGTGAGACTTTGGTTCAGTCTCAACAATTGAATAATGCTGAAATTTGGAACATTTACTGGAATGTCCCTTTAAGTAAATAGAAACACATTTTTTCATGTCAGCTGAATAGCTTTTATTGCTTCTATTCTATGACGTTTCGTTTCAGTTTCAGTAACTGCTACATTACGAATGACAAACAGGTGGTAAAAGATGAGCAATGCCAACTTGTAATGTCTGCCTGCAGTGCATTTTCATGGCTGTAACTCAATCAGACTTACAACTGGAGCAGCTTCTCTATTTTTGGATCAGCTACTTTCTTTATCATGTCTAATGCTCTGTTTTTCTCCAGGCACCTCCTCCCACACCTCTGTCTGCCTCCTCCCTTGGATCAGCAGGCACAGTGACTCCCCCAGACAGCTGGTCCTCCAGCACCCCTCCTGACCTGCAGTCCAGGCTGGCCAAGCGGCTGTGTGGCACGCCGGAGCGCATTGAGCTGGAGAACTACAGGCCGTGCTTGCAGGAGCAGGGCAGCCCGCTGCAGGAGGTGCCGGAGGAGATGTTGGCACAGCATAACCTCAGCCTCAGCCTGCACGAGAAAGGGAGCGAGGAGCAGTCTAGGTAGGGTTCTCAGTCTAGGTAGGGTTCTCAAAGCACGTTCTAACTTAAGTTCTGAGTCTACTCTGCTGATCTAGTTTCAGGCCACTTCGACAGTATCAAAAACTTTTTTTTTCTACTGCAATCTAAACAAGTGTTGTACTCAATGACTCAAATCTGAATAGACTCTTTAAAGGGGAACTCCACCATTTTTAAAAATTTTGGCGTAATTCAATAATTAAAATGTAACCAAAGTCATTCAGAGTGGTGGATGTCAAATGGTTCACTGTAGAGAAAATTACCATCTCAGGATTCTTTACAATGGTGGTGATAGGAACCAGAGGTCACGACAACTACAACATTATTTGTAATCTTGAAAATGGTAAAATAGAAGTAATAATAGTGGAATACGTTTTCTTGGCTGCTATTTTTCTTTACAATGCCTTTTTATTCTCTGTAGAGGATGTTTTAACATATTTTCTCAGAAAATCAACAAAACAGGTGTGTTCAAACCTTTGCATACAACATTACATAACTTGAGACCCAGTTGGAATCACATTTGTGTTGACTGGTTATTCAGTTTAATGTGCTCAGCGCCTGAGGACAGAAACATGCTTTGTTTTTTGAACAAATTTTTAAAAAGAAATAACAAATAATTGCTAGAAGTGACGGTGGAGGGAATAACAAACAGAAAATATTCTCTGTGGTCTATTTCAACAATTCTGTTTTGTGAAACTCATTAGAAGTTACAGTTTCAGCTCTTACAGACAAGTGTGAGTCTTTTGTAAAGTTAATAAAATGATTAAATACATTTTCTCAGAATTGTTCTTACAAGAAAAGTTAAGAAATAAGAAAATTCTTAAAAAGTGTTTTTGATGAATAACTATTTGTCTAAAATTTGTGATGAAAAATATGAAAAAATAAAGGAAAAAAAGGAAATTGAGACAAAGAACTGAACATTTCACACCAAACTGTCTCACTCTGAATGAATGAAATGGTTTATGACTGAATGCAGACATTTTGAAAAATTAATGGAACCCCCACTTTAATAGCCCATGAAAAATTAAGCATTGGTCTGATTTGCGCGCTGCTGTGAGTCGCTCTCTAAAGCCTGAAATATTGATTTAAAAGTCAGAGGTGTCGGGTCGAATTTCACAGAAGCTTTTCTAACCACGTCATGCGTCTTTATGCATTAACATCACACACACAGACTCGTCTGGCTTAAATGCAAAATCAACATTATACTGATGAAGATATAATTCACTCACATCATCAGAAGACACATCCTTTACCGAGTTTTGAGTTTGTTTGAATACTCTTTCAATGATCTCACAACCATCAGATTCATCCGCTTGGAGAAGGGATCCAAAGCAAAACCCATGAACGCTGCAATTCCACATTTCCACCAAAGAGGTCTCCAAATCTCCAAACCGTACATAGTGCAGATGTGAAGCAGTGGTCACCAAGCCTGGTCCAGGAGATCTACTTTCCTGCAGAGCCTTGTTCCAACCCCAATCTGCCACGCCCACTCCAGCTAATTAACTCCTGAAGAAGTCTTTGATTGGCTGGATCAAATGCAGTAACAGTAGGTGAGGAGGTGCAGCATGTTAGATGCAGGTTGAAGCTAAACTCTGCAGGAAAGTAGATCTCCAGAAGAGAGTTGGTGACCACTGATGTGAAGAATGTGGGGAAAAAAATGCTGTTCCTAAGTGTTTCTGTCGCTGTCTCATAGTAACGATAGAGGGTTTTGTGGGAGTTTGTTTGTTCAGCTCATTTAGCAACAAGTTGCAAGTTGGGTAACATGTGATCCCTAATTGTTTAGAATGTGACTGTCATCTCTCTCTCTCTCTCTGTCTCTCTCTCTCTCACTCTCCCCCTCCCTCCCAGTAGCTCAGAATCAGAGCTAGAGGAACAGGGGGAGGCGTCCTGGAGGAGGAGTGAGGAGCCAGAGGCCGCGACAAATGGAATGAGGGAGTTGAACAGAGGGGTGGAGCAACGGGAGGAGGAAGAAGAGGACGATGAGGAGGATCGAGGGGAGGAGGAGGAAGAAGAAGAGGAGGTTTCTGAAGAAGAGGAGAATGACGAGGAATCCAGCGATGGTAGGAGACTTGCGCAGCTGTTTTTATTGACATTTTTTCACAGTTGTTGTGGTCAAATGTGTCCTAAAAGTAGTTTTTTTAACTGTTCAGAAAGAGTTTGGACTCCCAGAACCGTGGTGTTGTTGTTTTTACTGAAGTTTAGTCTCACTTCTACTGTTCCTCTCTGTCTTTCTCTCTTTTGTTTTATTGGATTGGTGGTATATATACATGTTCCCATACTTGTCTGTGGGCTTTGTGGTGATGTGGGTGAGTGTCTGAATGGGTTTGTGTTTGTATGTGTTTACTCCTTTGTGTGTGTGTGTGTGTGTGTGTGATTAGAGGGTGAATATAGCCCTTGGGAGAGGGAGCGGTTTTCAGGGGTGTGGCTAGAAGAAGAGGAGGCAGGTGTGATCAAAGGTAGCACCGCCCCCGGCCATGACGGACAGCTCGTTATTTCCTTTTGCTTTTTTGTGCTGTATTTATTTTTTACATTTCAGTTTAATTCACTCAGTTTTTTGGTTGTGACCCCTGCATGAGCAGCTGTGCGCTCACACAGCATTTGAGTGTGGGTTGCCTTTTGCGCTGCAATCATTTATTTCCATTGTTTTTAAGTTCTGCTCGGTCATTTGCGATGTTGATCCCTTCCAGCTGAATTTACTTTACTTTACTTTTCTAGCTAAACACAACACAGTTAAAGATAGAGTTTGTTGACAAAACTGGGCTACTGTTCAAAAATTTGTAATAAGTGATTATTGAAGTGATGAGAAGCAAGGATCAGATGTCAGGCAGGTATCTTATCAAGGAGCTACTGTAAATATATAAAAATACAGTGTATTATTTATCATTTAATTACTTCTTTGCTGTTCCCAAAAAACTTTAAATATTGAACAAAACATTAATACCTTCTGATGTCAAGCTTATAGTATTTCAGTCTACACTGTAAGTAAATAATAACAAGCAATCAGTAAGTAACAACTGAACGGCTTCATTTCGAAACACATTACAGATTATTTTCAAGAATTAGAATTTTTTTTATGATAAAAGTTGTTGCATGTGGGCTTTACACATACAAGAAATATCAATGCTATATTATGATTAATAAGCCATTTATTAGAGAAATTAAAATGTTTTTTCTTTTATGCATCAGCTGTTATTCTTTTTAAAAAACTTCTATATTCTATATCTAAAACTGTTACAAATGGATTTACAGCATTTTGGAATAAACCCTTTAATTATAAATATAGCAACTTTCAGTCAGTGGTGTGTATAATTCAATGTTAAACAGACTCAGTAATGCTATATATTCATGTTGTTCTCCTTACCCTGAGCATTTTTAATGGCAGAGTGCAGAAAATATGGCAAATATGACTAATTCAGTGGCGGTTCTGTTTGATCTACAGTGCTGTGAGTGCTGTGCAAAAGTCAAAGACTGTACTTTTGTTTATTTAATATCCAGACAAAGCAGCCATTTATTTTGATAAGCATTCTCCATACCAGTCACAAGGTTGATGTCTCTTGCCCCTCCCACACAAAACACTTATTACAGTTATTTATCAGTGCCAGACAACAGGCAAAACAGGCAGGAAACATATTTGTAACAAAATTACACAGAAGCCTCAACAACTAAATATTCTATATTTTTAATTTGTATTTAATTCATCCACTTTTTACTTTTGTGCACCTACTGGCACTTTAACTCTTCTGTCCTTCCAAACCAACCAGTTACAGCTGTGTCCTCCTAACAAAAGCTGCTTCCAAAGATGTCACTGATATTAGATATAAGATAATCCACTTGCATAAAGAAAAGAGAAAGTCAATAGATTTTTAGAAGTAAACAGGGGGCAACAGGGAAGGGAGGTATTGCACATACAGGAAGGATATGGCACATATTAGACAGGTACGCCAGAACAAACAAGTAACAGTAAATAAAGAAGTGGCGACAAACAGTACAGGTGACTGGCAGTAAGGAATGAAGTAGATGGAGTAAAAGCATTGCATTTTAAATATATAATGTAGCAAAGTGTAATTATATATAATAATACAATGTAAGAGGGCACATGTGCGGTAATATGGTATAGAGTGAACTACTGAATAGTACAGTGTAATCCTGTAATACATACAATTAACCAGAATCTGGTACTATATAGGGAGATCAGTGTTGGCTGTAGCTATAGAATCAGTCAGTGTTAGCTGTTAAGAGCTCTGATGGCCTGGGGGAAGACGCTGATTTTGAGGCGGGTGATGCCTGCCTTGATGCTGTGGAATCGTTTGCCACAGGGAAGATAGAAGATCAGGGCATTAGCAGGGTGGGAGGCATCCGAGATGATGGACTGAGCCCTCATCCGGCACCAGGATGCATAAATGTCTGAAGTTGTGGGAGGTCAGTGCCTATGATTTTGGAAGCAATTCTGACAGTTCTTTGTAGGAGTCTGAGATCCTGGGCAGTCAGATTGCCAAGCCACACCAGCTACAGAGAAAACGGGACTAACTGTGCAAGACCTGGTAGACCAACAAAACTGTCCCCATCAGATAAACAGCACGTAAAGCTTTCATCTTTGAAAGAAAGGAGAAAATCAAGCTGCTTCAGATCTGAAAACACTGTGAGAAGACAACTCAGCGCTATGGGTCTGAAAGGATGTGTAGCTGTCAAGAAGAAATAGACAAAAAAGAGGAACATTTGGACAGGAATAAGTAAAGATTTATGGACTGTGGATTCTACATGTGTAATTGGGATTATTTGGATGGTGAGAAGCAGAAAATGCAAAACCAACTTCTAAGACTGAACTTTTTCTAAAAGAATGGATGCTGTAATAAAAGCAAAAAAAAGTTGGATTTTAAATAGTGAACATGTGATATTATATTTAGTTGTTGAGACTAATTTTCTGTTAAATATGTGTGGCATGTGCCCGTCCCCTGGGCCCCAACGACGGACACACACGCCACCCCCCACTCCCTCGCGGATTTCATCCTCTCCCCGCTCAGGAAACAGGGTTTCGTCTGGGCTTGGAGTTCATTCCCCTGCCTTCCTGCCAGCTTTCGTGGCCATCATCGGGGCCCAGGGGACGGGTGCATGGGACAATATGTTTTTTTGGTTTTTCCTTGCACTGAAAAATGAAAAACTTGTACTAAATATCTATTTTGACTGTAAATTAAATAAATAAAAGTATGGTCTCTGACGTTTGCACAGTACTTCATGTGAAAAGACTTGAAGTGTTTCTAAATATAGTAAAATTCCTTTGTTTTTGCTCACTGCTCTTAGTTGTTTACATGCTTCTTTTCCTTCTGCTTCTTGGCTGCATTGTGTGGCACCATAATGCTTCTTCTATCAGAGCATAAATTCTAATATTCCTTGAGTCTGTGTAACTCCATGCACATTTGTCTTTCCCTTTTTTCCCCAGAATCCTCCGATGAACATGAAGTAAAATCCTACTCAGACCGAAAACCTAAATACTATGACTTCCAGGATATGGAGCCCTGCGCCCTCGACAGAGACCGATCTCTTCTTTCAGAAAGCACGGGCTTCACGGGCTCTACACATGCCTTTACACCCACGTCCGACCTGCCTGTGACTCCAGAAGACCCGGTGACCAAGAGGTCAGAGGTTATAGAGGAGTTCTGGCTGAAGAGTGCTGAGATCAGGAAGAGTTTGGGGTTGACTCCACTGCCTAGAGATCTGAAGGATATGGATGGCTGCTCTACCCAAACATCTAGCACTGGAGACACATTTTACACCTCTGCTATACACACACCATCCCTTTATACATCCGCCTCTGACTCCCCCTCGCACACCCCTCACAAATGTGACACAAGCAACCGAAACACATGCACACACAACACTGAGACGGCTTCACTGACAGACCCTGAGAGCAGACATACGCACTCCTTGTCCGGCACACCCTCGTCTGGCCGCTCACGCACCTCCGAAGCAGGGGAGGCGGGGTCCATGCTGGAGGAGGTAGTAGGCCGCTGTTCGGTGGTCCATAGACTTAACATCACTCTGGAGGGTCAAGTGACTGAGGAAGGGATGGGCCTGGCATCTAACCCTGCCTCCAGCAGGGCTGAAACCAATCACAGAGTTTCAGCACCTGCCTCAGGTCTTTTGAATCCTCCATGCAGTCCACCTGTAGCCTGCCGCTACCAGCTAGCAGTTGAACTGGCTCGAGAAAGGGAGATTTTGGTGAGCTCTGAGTTGCATCCAGGTCTGCTAAAGCAGGATACGCTTAAAAAAGGCCTGGACAGAGCTCGGAGCCTCCCTCCAGATGAGGTGGAGGTTTTATGTGCAGATGAAGCTCACCCCTGCTATGCTACGTCAAATCAATTGCCACCAAGAGCTAGCATCATGGACTGTAACACATCTAGCTTCCCTAGTAAAACCCCTGTCCCAGAGCATGCTAGGAAGGACAAGAGTGCACCAGAAGGCAGGAGGACCCTACTGGAGAACCCTGTGCAGGTGGGAGGGGCTGAGGTATGGCTGCGGAGGCCAGAGGTCAAGCCAGGGGCAGAGGAGAAGGAGAAGAAGCGGAGCTCACTCTTCTCGCCTCTGAAGAGCAGAAGGAGCGGGGAGACGCAGCAGGAATCTGCCAAGCACAGGTCCCTGTGGAAGAGCGTCTTCTCCGGGTATAAGAAGGAGAAGAAGAGGAAGGAGGCAGCAGCTCTGGCTGGCACTTTGCCGGCTGCTGCTGACCTGGAGAGCAGGACGAGAATGGCTGGCCTCAGCAGAACCACAGGTGAACAAGGACATGCAATGTCATTAATGCGAAGCACCACTCTTAAATAGCACATACATAGGTTTTCTCCATAAGCTAGCTAACTGATCGCTTGTCTGTCACTTTGATCAAATAAAAGTTTTCCGTACCAGTGTTCACCTACTTACATAGGATGTTTTTCCAGCCTTTGACTTCATAATAATAATTTAAGAATAAGTTCACCAGACAAAAGATTTGTCACCTGTGACTGAAATGAACCTAATAGCATGTAATACCTCCACGAGCACAGCTGTGATTCGATTTTGGCCTGGACTGAACACGTTTCTGGATCAATGTTCAGCCATTCTTGCATCAAAGAATCGTGCAGTTTGGCCAGATTCCGTGGATGCCTTCCCTGGCATCTTACACGTTGTTCCAGGTCGTCCCACACATTTTCAAAAGGATTCAAATCTGGGGGTTTTGCGGGCCAGTCCAGATGTGTGAATGCTCCCAAATGTTCATCATTCCAATCAGTCACATTTGCAGCCCTGTGAACGCAAGAATTGTCATCATGGAATACAGGAATGTTATGATCCTCAGTTAGATGATGAGCAAAAGGCAAAACCTGGTTGTCCAGCTGCTCAATGTTGGCACTGTGGTTCAAATTTACACCTCAATGTGTCACCTCAACCAAAGGACCCATTTCCACATAATTAAAAGACCCCTAGAACATCACAGAGCTCCTCCATCTTGAACCACACTTTGCATGCAGTCCTCATTGAAAGCTTCCTGAGGTCTACGATGAACACGAAGCCCAGCATCATTCACATACAGGCAGACACAAGATTCGCCTGACCAGATAACACGTTTCCAGTCATGAACAGTCCAATTTCTGTGTCTCTTCGCCCTCTGTAACTGGGCAACTTTGTGAGCAGAAGTGAGCAAAGGCCTCTTGCGTGCCACTCTGCTCCCTATGTTCATAGTATGCAGTTCTCTGCGGAGAGTCCTTTCAGAAATCCCTTTCTGTCAGTTTCATCTTTCGGCCACAATTCTGATGAGAATTTCCTGTAGACTGGGATTTTTGCCTTTGCTGTTAGACCCATATGACCGTACGATTTCATACACAACAAATTGACCTACTTCCTTAACACTTTGTCCCTCGGCACACCCAAATGCAATCACTCCTTTTTGCCAATCTTTAACATCTGCTTTGCGACCCATTTTCCACACATCAAACAAGACATTAACTGCACTGTACCATCTCTTCTCAATCTATGAATCCTGTTGCACACCTTGCAGGTATTTATAGCCTGATCATCCTCGTGCAATGCCATCTGCAGGAGCCTGACGTTACTACCACTTAAACACGCAAGGTGACTAATTTTTTGTCTGGGGAGCTTAAGTTGAATAATAATAAGTTTTATTATATTACGTTTAAACAAAACAACCCACAACACACGCATGGTACCTCTGCTGGCAGGGGGAAAACTCCCTGGGCCATTGTACAGTCATTTAGCTCACCAGGATAGAGTCCTTAGCCACAAGGGAAGGCCTCTCTTAAGAGGCCTCATAGCAGTCGGTCAACCCAGGCAGCTTTGTAGCTGTGGTGTAGTGTAGCTCCAGCAGCCAGCTGAGGCATATACAGTGGAGGAAATAAGTATTTGTTCCCCCACTGACTTTAAAAGTTTTAATACAAAAAAAATAAATGAAATGTCTCAATTTTATGACAGCTTTATTTTAACAGTGACACACAGAATATCAAAAGAAAAACTGAGAAAATTACATGAAATGAGAAATAAAAAATAATTTGAATTTCATTGAAGGAAATAAGTATTTGACCCCCTAGTAAAACATCATTTAATACTTGGTGGCAAAACCCTTGTTGGCAAGCACAGCAGTCAGACGTTTCTTGTAGTTTTTTATAAGGTTTGCACTTCAGGAGTAATTTGGCCCACTCCTCTCTGCAGATCATCTCCAAATCCTTAAGGTTTTTAGGCATGCATTTGGAAACGCGAAGCTTCGGCTCTCTCCATAGAGTTTCTATGGGATTGAGGTCAGGAGACTGGCTAGGCCATTCCATGACCTTGATATGCTTCTTATGGAGCCACTCCTTTGTTTCCTTGGCTGTATGTTTTGGGTCGTTGTCGTGCTGGAAGACCCATCCACGACCCATTTTCAGTGCCCTGGCGGAGGCAAGGAGGTTGTCACCCAGGATTTTGCGATACATGGCCCCGTTCATTTTCCCGTCGATGCGGTGAAGTTGGCCTGTGCCCTTAGAAGAAAAACACCCCCAAAACATAATACTTCCACCACCATGCTTGACGGTGGGGATGGTGTTCTTAGGGTCATATTCTGTATTTTTCTTCCTCCAAACACGTCGAGTTGAGTTGAGGCCACAGAGCTCAATTTTGGTCTCATCTGACCACAGCACCTTCTCCCAGTCTCTCTCGGAGTCATTAATATGTTCATTGGCAAACTTTAGGCGGGCCTGGACGTGAGCCTTCTTGAGCAGAGGAACCTGGCATGCACTGCAGGATTTTAAACCATTACGTCTCAGTGTATTACCAATGGTTTTTTTGGAGACTGTGGTCCCAGCTGCCTTGAGATCATTAACCAGCTCCTCCCGTGTAGTTCTTGGCTGATTTTTAGCCTTTCTCATGATCAATGAGACTCCACGAGGTGATATCTTGCATGGAGCTCCAGGCCTAGCTCAATTGACAGTAATGTTGTACTTCTTCCACTTCCGAATAATTGCACCAACAGTTGTCACCTTCTCATCCAGCTTCTTACTTATGGCTTTGTAGCCCATTCCAGCCTTGTATAGGTCAACAATTTTGTCCCTGACATTTTTAGACAGCTCTTTAGTCTTGCCCATGGTTGGAGTGTCACTGAGTCTGTTGGCAGGTGGCCTTTTATACAGGTGACAATTTGGGACAGGTGTCTCTCATGCAGGTAGCGACTTCACTGAGATTAGGGTGTGTCAGTGGTCTGTGGGAGCCAACATTAGTCATGGTTTTTAGGGGATCAAATACTTATTTCCCTCAATGAAATGCAAATTAATTTTTTTTAAATTTTATTTAATTTTCTAGATTTTCTTTTTGATATTCCATCTCTCACTGTTAAAATGAAGCTACCATAAAAATCATAGACTGTTTAATTATTTGTCAGAGTACAAACTTTCAAAATCAGTGGGGGATCAAATACTTATTTCCTCCACTGTACATGCAGTTTGTAACTACAGACCTGTGGTTCTGTATTTGTAAGGCCCTGCTGGTGTGGGTTCATGACAGTTTCCCTTTTCAGTGATGTAATAATACCCCTTTGTGGAGAATCGTCAGTCTGCTACATGTGAGTCGGTGTGTTGCAAGCCAGGTCCATGAAGGGCATCACATCTAAGAACAGCATGGATGAGTGGATGGATTAGTATATAGGATACAAGTACAGTGAGAGGCAAATGCATTGACGTATGACTACTTATTAATGCACATGTATTGAAACATGAGGATGTTATAGTACTGAGTGAAAGTTTTAGGCCCCTGAGAAAATTTTAATTTAAAAGATAATTGAGTTGTAAGTGTACAGGATAAGTAAACACTAATATTGGAAGAAATACAAATCAGTACAATAAATACAATACATTTCTAAACCTGTTCTCAAGGAAGCCTGGTATTATTTGTAGTTATCATCAAGTACCAGGTTTGGCAAATTAATACTTCATTACGTTAAATCAGCCATACTGGTGATGGAATGTGATGGCCATGTGACGGCTGGGAGCCAAATTTGTTCTTCAAACTGGGTCACAAAATTTCTTTTTGAAAATAAGAAATTCTTTTTTATTTTTTCCTGTATTTAGGTTTATTTACATATATTCTAATAATATATGGTGTTTTTACAAGCACAGACATACTGTCAAGATAAGTGTTTTTAAATAATGTTCTCAGGTGCCTAAGACTCTTGCACAGTAATGTATGTGTGTACAGTACCTATCAAAAGTTTGGACACACTTGCTCATAGAATTTCCCTTGTTTTTCCTGTTTTACTACATTTTAGAATAACAGTGAAGACATCAAACAGTCAGAAATATTGGTCTTCTTCCTATTCAGATGCACCTTACTTCAATATAACACAACTAATAAGCTCACATTAACAAGGACAGACTTTACACAAATGAACTTTTAACAAGACAACTGTGAAAAAGAAATTCTGAATTTTCTAGACTTGCGCTTTAAGAAGAACCTGAGCTTCTCTGAAGACACAGACCTGTCTTGCAATGCTGTGATGGAGAGATCTCCACTCAGAGCTCAGGTAGGAGCAAAACGTTCTTCCTCCTTCTCTCCTTCACTTCCTCTGTTCATCACTTTTTGCATTGTTTCTCTTCCCTTATCCCTTTCTTGCTTACGTAAAAGAATTGTTTGGTGAAAAATCAAATTGGATTTAAATTTCCAACTTACCCCAAATGCAGTCCATCAGCAAAGACCTGTTTCAAATTATGCTTCTTTAGTTTAGAACTGGAGCTGCTAGGCTAACAGTGCTAACAAACAGTGGAAGTCAGTGGTCACCAAAACTGTTTCCACAAATACATCCCAAAATCGTTGAAACAAAACCTCGTATATCCATTTTTGCTGTTTTTTAGTTTTTGACATAATTTGAAAATGCCTGTTGCCCTTTACATTGTGTGTAAATTTAATGATGAATGGACTAAAAGAAACGGTCCAAAACTACTTGGGGAAAAAAGTCTGGTTCCATTGACCTACATTAAAAGTAAAGTATGTTTTTTGCTTCTCCTGTAAAGTTACCATTTTGGAGACATCAGGTTTTGTTCCAACAGCAGCGATATATTTGCTTCATATAATGTCAGTAAGTGTCTGTGTTATGAATTCCCTTGGCCCCATCTTTGGTCATCTTGTGTGGAATGATGCCAAATTGTGCTCATGAAAGAACTGCGATTATCCTGAATTCTGCAGTTGCCCCTTCTTTTAGGTACTCAGAGAAGTTTCTGTGCATTTTTATAATTCATAGTGAGTCACACTGTGTTTTAAAACATATGGACTTGTCTGCACAACCTGAATTAAGGATGCGGTTTGAGCAGCTTGAGACCAGTTTTGCAAAAGTTTTTATGTAAACGGTTTGGGTGACTACTGACTTCCAGTGTTTGTTAGCAACAATAGCTTCACAGCATCGGTGCTAAACTAAAGAAGCAAAATTTGGACACCAGTCATGTCTTGGCTGATGGACTGCATATGGGGTAAGTAGAAAAACATGTAAATTTGATTTTTCCCCTGGCAGTACTTCGAATTCCTTTTGCAGTACCGTTGGCGGGGGTCAGCAGCTGGTGACACTTATTCTCAGAAAGCAAGAACAGTGTCAGAAAAAGAACAGATACTTGTCCGACAGCGTGTGCATTGCATTCTTTTATGGTGGAGCAGAGTAGACGAACTGAGAATGTTGTTCTATTTGGGAGATAAATTTCCATATGACCATGTTTTCAGCTGTCTGACATCATCAGGTCAGATGCTCAGAAAGGAACAATCAAGGAAGAGGAGGATGAAGTGGAGGAGCAACAGGAGGTATAATATACAGTGTCATAGCAAAGCAGTGCCAGTACATTGTGAAGTGTTATCAGAGGCTTTTTAGAGGACTGTGCTGAACTTCCTGATAGTGAGTAGTTTCGTGCTGTGGCCTGTTGTGTTGGGAGTCGTCAGCAGTTTTGTTTGTGTCTGATGTGACTGATTAATTCAGACTCCAACTTTTCTCTCCTAAGTCTGTTTACGTGCCTCACGCATTGGCATTCAAGAGAGCGTACGCCGTTAAGGTAGTGCCGACATTCCCCATTTGCCCATATTTAGCTCCTATTGGTCGAGCAGGTAGCATTCAGCCCGCCTCTTGACTCTGTTGCCCAATAGAAACGCAGAGTGAAGCCGCGGCAGTCAGCCAAGGTGGGGATCCCAGAGTCGTCGTGCCCGACTGAGGTGGTGGGGGTGTGGGTGGTGTTCCAGGACCCCTCCAGTATAAGCCTGTCTTCCACGCTCTTTCAGAAAGCAGGAGGCGAGGAGGAGCTGGATGCCAAGCTGACCCGCAGAGTGCAAAGAGCCGCACGCAGGCAGGCCAAGCAGGAGGAGCTGAGGAGGCTGCACCGTGCCCAGGTCTGTATGTTTGGGTTCAGTAATAATAATGCCCATTTGTTGGAATGTGGGTACAGCTCTATGCAAAAGTTTGCTCGCCCCTAGTCGTATGACATGTTTCATTGATTTTCTAAGTCAGGGACACACTTCTGCACGTTTTAGTACACAGTTAGTGTTTATTTGCTGAATTTACAATATTGGGAAAAAATAAAACATAAAATGTAGCCTGTGCAAAAGTTCTTAATTATTTTATTCAGTATGTAAAACTATAATAAATAATTATTCACTTTAAATTTGCAGAAAACTTCCATATTTGTGTTCTCTGTAGATGATGTGATAATTGGTTTTCAATCAGAAAATCAACAAAACATTTTATCAATGGTGTTCGAAGTTTTACATATGGCTGTGTATATGTTCAGTACCAAAAATGTTTGGGTGTGTTTTTTCTGTTTACACATCCTTTACAGGGAACACACTTACTGAAAGAGTCACTGTAAAACTGCTGTGTTATTGCCTGTTAGAAGCTTTAAATAAAACACAGAATATCTTTTACAAGCTCCAAATGTCTGTGTTTAATCGAGAATGGCCAAAAAGTGTTCTTGTTCACCGCAAATAGCTTAGTGCTAACATACTACTGGAAATCCCATAGGGGCACAAAGAGAAATGAGCATTATTGTAGAAGTGGGTTTTTTTTTAGATTATCTATTTTACCTGAACTGAATGACCAGCTGTAATAGTCATGGTCTGCCAGCAGAAATATTGGCCTTCTACCAAATAGGGCTATTTAGGACCCCCCCACCTTCTTACAACACAAACAACTGGCTCAAACATTAATAAGGACAGACATTCTACAGTCTAAGTAACTTAATGAGGCACACATTGTCATTATGATGATATAGTGATTGTGATTTAACATTTCATGACTTAAAATGTGACTTAAGTTCTAAGCTAAATGTATTTGTCTGAGGATGAGGTTTCCAAAAACTTATATGTTTTGTTTCAAATATTTAAATTGCACCTTTAACTGTTTATATTTATCCATGCATTTCAAGTCACTGTCTTTTAACTGTCTTTGATGAACAACTCATTCAGATGTGTCCAGATTTTTGACTGGTGTTTATCTGCTATATTTACTCTTTTTACATTTACTTTTTTACTAATTTATTAGTTCCCTTTGTGAATGTGTGTTTGTGTCCCACAGATAATCCAGCGGCAGTTGGAGCAGGTGGAAGTGAAGCAGAGGCAGTTGGAGGAGAAGGGCATCGCTGTGGAGAAAGCTCTCAGAGGAGAAGCAGGTATCTGACATAATGGAGGGATGTTGAGCACTGTGTGCTGTGTCACTGTTCATCATGTTACTCAGTTTTATATGTATGTATTTTATAAATGCCTCAATTCATCCGACTCATCAAAAATGCATTATTGCCATTTATTTCAGCCTCACATGTCAGTTGGAGAGAGGCAAACGTCAGCCCAGAGCTGTGTAAATGGGCCATGGCTGTGATATTGTGTGTATGTTTGCTGACTAGTGTGTCCTTGTTATAGACTACTGGGAAGACTCTAGTACCTCCGACCTTCTGGACATCCACTTGGGTGGTACGTAGTTTAACAAGGAGAGTCCTTCAGGCTAATAGTGCTAACAATCAAATTGGTTTCCTTGTGACAGAGGAACATGTTTCCTGACAGACAGATGTGCTTATAAGCTAACATCCCTAAACAAGGCTAGAAGCTAGAACCCTGCTTCTTTTAGACCTACTCATTATGGCTTTACCTTCCTTTTGGCATGATTTGACCTTTTAGGTCCTGTTTACACTTGGCCTTTAAATGCATCCTGTTTAGGGATGCCAGGTGTCCAGTTTCAAGGTCCACTATCCAATGTCTGGTTAGTGCTCGTTCTCAATAAACCCATTGTTTTCAAATTACACTTAGTTTCAAAAAGCAGTTGAATATGTGTCTTAATCTTATGCCTCAGTCAGCTTTCAGACAGACAGAGTGACTAAACAATGGGTTACTTTTTCATAGTTTTATTAGTGTGACACAAAAGCAGAACAAATAGTTTTACAGCACTTAATGGGTGTCCAATCTTATCCTCAAAGGGCATGAGCACACGTGATCAGACTAAGGCTCAACACAATTTCACCCCTCACCCCTACCACTTAGCCCTACACCTCTGTTTTGCGTGTTCACGTCTAGGGGTAGGGTGTCCTGATTTTAGTTGAGATAGAGGGGTAGGGTGAAGTGTTAGGGCTACATGGCCCTCCAAACGGAGGTTTTTCAGAGGCTCACTCCAAACTGAGTGTTATGAGAAAAAAGATAAACCAGCAAGATGGCTGTGCGAGCAACCAAAGAAACCCACGAATGTGAGAACTTTCTCTGTTAACAAATTATGATAACCACTGTATTTTCTTAGTTTAATGTTGTTTCAATGTATTATGGTCATTTTCTTCATAACAAGCATAAAAAAATCGCTAGTAGTATGCTGATGTCTCGGCAGCTAGCTAGCTAAATTTCCCGTTCCACCTTAGCAGTAGTAATGCCTGAAGCGCCAGAATGTAACTGCTGCTCCATTTAAGGAGGAACTGGAAAATTCAATTGAGAAGCTGTTGAACAGCTGAATAGCTTCACATCACAGTAAATAATTGCCCCCTCCCCCCTCCCCCTTTGAAGGCATATTATGCCCTAAATGTAACTAAAGCCCAGCAGTGAGGAGCTGAACTTTACCCTCCTCTGCTGTCACTGCAGACTGGCAGGGTCGCCTACAGAGCAGCGCTAGTAGCTGTTAATGAAGTAATGCTCTTTTTTATTTGAGGGTCCCATTTCATAGGGGAAGATTTCAACCACTACCCCTAGTAACTCAGTTCGAAGGGGCAAGGTGACACTCAGAAACAAGGGGTAGGGGTAAAAATTAGAAATGGGACTGGGCCTAAGTGATTAAACAAGGATAATCAGGTGGGCTTCTTCTTGTTTGGAATGAAAACCTGCAGCTGCGCCAGCCCTTTGTGGATAAGATTGGACACTCCTGACTTAACAAGATTAACCTCCAGGAGTGGTTCCCGACCCTGGTCTTGGAGTACACATCTTAGTGATTTCCCTGCTCCCAACACACTTGTTTCAACTTGAAAGTGGGTGTTTGAGCAGGAATGTGCAGGGCAGGGGGTACTTCAGGACCAGGGCTGGAAACCTGTGACATATAATGTTTATGTGAATTTTAAACCAAACAAAATAAACCAGACCGCTGTCGAAACACGCAAAAAAGATGAAAAGATGCAATAAAAGGCTCATTCTTACTGCATTTTCCACCAAAACAAAGGCTATCTGGTTAATTTTAGCCGTTTGCACATGTATATGTAGAAGTAGACTAAAGTTAAAAAAGCAGTCTGCCAATATCTGGATGCAGAAGCTACATTTGAAAAGGACAAGTGTAAATGTGCAGTCTAATCACCACAATCGAATCGTGGATCTTAATGCCAAGTGTAATCTGGGCTTCAGCTTCAGACAATAATTAGCCTAAAATGGCTACCTTGCTGACTTTCATTCACAAAATAATAGCATATTCAAGAAAATATTCCTTCAGTTTTAGGAGCCTAATTGCTTGTGTCTTTCCTGTCCGTCTATGTGTGGTTTTGTGTGTGCGTGTGTGTGTTTGTGATAATAGGGGTGACAATATAAAGAATTTTTTTTTTCAGATTTTTAAAAAATTTTCAGTTTTTTTTTATTTTGCCAGACATTCTTAGACTATTACAAAAACATTTTTAGGCAATGTATAATAAGCTACTGTATTTTGACAGGGACATCAACAGGTGTTGAAGTGAATACTTGCCTTTATCCCTCCATTCACCTCTTTCTTGGGAAACACACTGGCTGTGTTTACATGCAAAGATTTTTTGCCAATCCGATTGAATACATTCCGATTATAGATGAAGACTGAGGTGCTTATGCTCACTCTACCCAACAATCTGATGGAAGATGTCAGTTTACATGCACACTGCATGTAATCCTTCACGTGAGTCCAGTCAGAGTGAGATGAGCAGCAGTGAGCAGTGCTTGTGTCTGATGTCAGACTCAGGAAAAAGTCCTTCACATGTCCTTATTAAAGAAGGCCTAGAGGAAGACGTCGTGTTCTGAGACACATAAACTGGACGCCCATCCCACCGCCGTCTTTTAAAGATCAGAGCATAAACTTCGTCTCCTCTGCAGACCAGTTTCTGCTCCGCCATGTTGAACGTTATAAACTTTCACTATGACGTGACGCACATGATCAGAACGTACTTAAACTTTCTGATTGGGAATCTAATCAGATACAGGCGTTTACACAGTTATTATTCTTCTATTTAATTGATTATTTACAGGATTACCCACCTCGTTCAGTCAGATAGAAATGTATTCTGAATGGCCTCAGTCAGACTAGTTCATTCTGATTGAGGTGTTTACATGTATGTATTCTATTCCAATTGATCTATTAGTTGGATTATTAAGTTGCATGTAAACGTGGCTACTGTGTCTCAATTGAGCACTAGTGCCTTAGACACTTTCAGTGCATGTAGTTCATACAGGAAAAGAAAACGGGATGCAGTGTCCCGTTGATAGCCAGATTATGTACTAGAACCTCCAAAAAGTGTGGAGTGCTGTGTACTATTTGCATTCAGCAGCTGCTGATCGAGTTTTTCTTCTGCAATAACTATATTTCTACATAGTTAACTTGTGTTACAATATTTGCAGCATGCAGTGGTGAACCGACTTTAAAGCTAAGCCTTCAGCTTTGGGCCATAACTCATCTGTATGATAAAGCTAATTTGCAGTGTAATGTTAGTATTACCTTACGCTTTTAAATACAACAAGCAGAATAATTATATTGAATAAAATTGAATTATAAATTACATACATTCATTCATTCATTCATTCATCGTGCAAACCGCTTATCCTCCTGGGTCACAGGGGGTGCTGGATCCTATCCCAGCGCTCATTGGGTAAAAGGCAGGAAACACCCTGGACAGATCCATCACACAGACATACACAGTCACACACACTCACACCTAGGGACAATTTAGCATCTCCAATTGGGCTGATCGCATGTCTTTAGACTGTGGGAGGAAACCCACTCAGACACGGGGAGAACATGCAAACTCCACACAGAAAGGACGCTGGTCACCTGGCCGGGGAATCAAACCCAGGCCCTTCTTGCTGTGAGGCGACAGCACTAAAATTACAGACATGTATTTTTCAGTTCAGTGCAATTTTTCAGTTCCCTGAATTTCATTGGGTCTTCTCTGAGATGATGCTACAGAACTCCAAGCACTACACAGTAAAGTGCATAGCATATAAAATAAGATTATAATGTACAATGCCTGAACTGAGACCCGGGAAGGGTTTGTCCCTGCTGGGGTCAGTCCATATCTGTGCATGCTTACCTGCAGTTCAGTCACAGCCATGTCCATTCCTCTAAATCTCCCTTCACTTCTTCATCTCATACCCACCCAGTCCACCCTTTTCTTCTCAGTGCTCCCACCTATGTCCCTGAATCCCTCCTCCTGTCTTTTTATCCCTGTCTCTCTCTCTCTTTCTCTCTTTCTGTTTTCCTGTGGTCGTAGTTGAACCCTTTCTTGGTTCCCCTCGTAGAAGACCTGTCTCCCTCTGTCCTTGTTGTTCCTCCGAAGGTAACTGGACCACCCCTTTCTTCTCCCTTGTGCAGGTGCCACCTGTAGCCCTTAAACAATTTGTATTAAAGGAGCCATTTTAACCACCGCGGACGTTAGCCACTCGTTTTCTAAACGCTCGCTGCTTCTCCTCTTCTTCCTCCTCTTTTTCCTTCTTGTGCACAGCTAGAGCCAAAGGCACAGAGCACGACCACTCTGTCTACGTCTGTACGGTCTTTTTCCTTTATGTAGTGCACGAGCCTCCGCTCCACCAGCTAAGTGCGTGTCTTACTCTCTGCCTGTCTGTCTTTGCATGGATATGACCCAACTGCATGGATTGCATGAGTTCCTGGCATTGCAAAGAGGTCCGGCCTTGGACTTTATTACAGAGGAGGGCTTTTATTTAGGAAGGTGCAGTGAGTGTGTATGTGTGTGGTGTGCGTGCTGTATGTGTAGAGATCTCTGTCCATCTCTGTGCATGTTTCTCAGTGTTAGATAGCATTTGTAAGTGACAGACATGTATCTGACATACAAATGCAGTGTGTTTCTGATTCTCTGCCTGCTCAGTCAGCCCTCTTCCTCCTGCTGCATGTTCTTCCACTCTCTCTCTCCCTGCCTCTGAACCTTTGCCCTCTTTGCTCCCTTGTTAGGGATGGGGAAGAAGGATGACCCCAGCCTGATGCAGCAGTGGTTTAAACTGGTTCAGGAGAAGAACGCTCTGGTGCGCTACGAATCTGAGCTCATGATTTTGTGAGTGCCTTTTTCTTCACTGCTTTAAATGCACGGAATCACACTTGAAAACTTGAAAAGGTGTACAAACTATACATGGTTTTATTGCTCCAGCTCTGATTTTTTGCTGCATGTGAAATCAGATCTATAAGGCCTTGGACACTTTAAGGGGAATTTCACCAATTTTTCAAAATTTCTGTATAATTAGGTAACTGAGATTTAAACATGTAGAGTGGTCTCAGGATTTCTTTACAGCAGGGGTGAAGCCAGGGGTCACATTGTCTCTGTCCTGCAAATATAGACATTTTATTTGTTTTACAAAACAACCAGTGAACCCACATACATCTTCTAAGGCTTTTTATATAACGTTGGTAATCATAAAATTTGGGGAAAAAAACCTTTGGGTACTGTTTTGCCTTAGAACCTTTTTGCCATGAGTGGATTAAAAAAAATGTTTTAGGCCAAAAACTCAAAGCTATCGTAAAACACCAGGCACCAGCCAAAGTATTCATAATCTTTCATGTAATAACCTTCTGTGAGGGAACTTTTAGAGGCATTTTAGAGGTGTTTTGGACACCTGGTTCCTATCACTAGCACTCTGTAAGTAAGTAGGTAAGTAAATATATGAGTAAGTATATAAGAAAAATAAGTATTTAGAAAGCACATTTAAAGGGGATATATTTAAAACACATACAAAAAACAACATAAGGTGTATAACAAAACAAGATCCAATAATCTAGGTTTAAAAGCATCAGTAGAGGGTGCAGACCTAATGTCTAGAGGCAGACTGTTCCACAGTCTTGTTGCAGCTGAGATCGTGGCACAGCTAGTAACAACTGATCTGATGACCTCAAGGGCCTGGAGAAAGAATAGCGTTGGAGCAGACCTCCTAAATAAGACGGCACAGATCCATTTAGTGACTTAAAAACAAATAAAAGAACTGCAGTATACAGGAAGCCACAGTAGGGATGCCTAGACAGGGGCAATGTGGTCCCTCTCTCTTGTTCCTGTGAGAAGGCGAGCTGCTGCATTTTGGACTAACTGTAAACAAGCTTTTGAGGACTTAAAAACACCTATACATATACATATACAGGCTGTTGGTAGCCTAAGCGAGATGAAATGAGGGCGTGTATAACCCCCGGTCATGGGGTGACAGAAATGATTTAATTTTGGCGACTGACCTAAGTTGGTAAAAGGAACTCCTGACAACAGAGTTAATTTGTTTATCAAACTTGAGGTCAGGGTCAAATTTGACCCCAAGGTTTTTTTACCTGAGGTTTCACGTTCTCCAACAGTCCACTAAGATTATTTATTAAAAGATTGGTATGCCTGGGAGAGCCAAAGAGGATCACTTCAGTCCCTGTGAACAACTACAACTCTGTAAGTTTCTCTATTTTACATCAAACCACTCTGAATGACTTTGTTCACATCCTAACCATTCAATTACGAAGGCATTTAGATAATTGGCATAATTCCATTTTAAGTGGTTAAGTGGTTTCAACCCTTTTGTAGATCTGCAAAAAAAAATCAGGAATGGAGCAATAAAACATCCTAGTGGAATTCCTATTTAAAAATCCCAGGATTATTACATCGTAAGGCTTATTATTCAGTAACTACATAGACCACAGTGCAAACTTAGTTATTCTAAGGTTGTAGGAGTGAAGAGTGGAAGTCTGGACCTGCTGAGGGGTCCTGGGAAATTTAAGGGTTAAACCCTTGGGCCTGTATGTAGGCCCACAGTTCAATTCCCAACCCTACATAATGTATATATTAGTTTTGTAGAAGTTACTGAATATGATCATGAATAAAAAGGTCCAATCCTATTTCTTATTTTTACCCCTACCCCTTGTTTTGAGTGTCACCTTGCCCTTTAGAACAGAGTTACAAGGTGTAGTGGTTGAAATCTTCCTCTATGAAATGGGACCCTCAAATAAAGAAGAGCATTACTTCATTAACAGGCTGCTAGTGCTGCTCTGTAGGCGTCCCTGCCAGTCTGCAGTGACAGCAGAGGAGGGTAAAGTTCAGCTCCTCACTGCTGGGCTTTAGTTACATTTAGGGAATCATATGCCTTCAAACGGGGGGGGATATGACTTATTATCACCCACCCCTAATTCTTCAGTGATGAAGCTGAAATCAGCAATTCGCCAGCTTCTTGTTCAAAATTAACTAGCTAGCTACTGAGACATTAGCACACTATTAGCGATTTTTATGCTTGTTATAAAGAAAAGGAACATAATACATTGAAACGTTAAACTAAGATAATACAATGGTTATTGTAATTTTTTAACAGAGAAAATCCTTACATTTGTATGTTTCTTTGGTCTCTTGCGCAGCCATCTTGCCGGTTTTTCTTTTTTTTATAACACTGTGTGGAGTGAGTCTCTGAAAAACCTCCATTTGGAGGGCCATGTAGCCCTAACACTTCACCCTACCCCTCTATCTCAACAAAAATCAGGACACCCTACCACCCCTAGACGTGAATGTGCAAAACTGCGGGGTAAGGGCTTAGTGGAAGGGCCGAGGGGCGAAATGGGACTGGGCCTAAGTCTGAAGAATAGACTGCATAATATGCAGTGTTTTAAATTTAGAATATTTATACAATTTATAATTTGCTTTGTGATTACCTATGTGATGTGGTCTTATCTGATTGCTCCACGTGCTGTCTGTGCAGTGCGCGAGAGCTGGAACTGGAGGACAGGCAGAGTCGGCTGCAGCAGGAGCTGAGGGAGCGCATGGCAGTGGATGGTCAGTTCTTACAGAGAGAAATATCCCTAACCACATCACATCAGCAGCATGGAATGTGAAAAATGCTTGTTCTTGTCATGGGGACTTGGACTCAGTCTCTCCCTCTTTTTTTCAGACCATCTGAAGGGGGAGGAGGAGTTGGAGGAGGAGAAACGTATCCTGGGGGAGATGCTGGATGTGGTAGAACAGAGGGATGCTCTTGTAGCTCTCCTGGAGGAGCAGAGAGTGAGGGAGAGAGAGGAGGACAGCGACCTGGAGGCGGTCATGCTGTCCAAGGGCTTCAGCCTGCACTGGGCCTGACGCACAAACACCCACACATCTTGGTTTTAATAGGAGTGAGCTGCCCCATGTTTGCTTGGGGCTATACTTGTGAAGTGTTCTATACTGTCTGAGGCTTTGGCAACTGCACAATGTAAATAGTGTATCTATATTCAGAGAGAGAGAGAGACCACCATAAAAGAATACGTCTCTCAAATAAGCTGAAGGGCCAAATAAAACTCCTGTAGAAACTGAATGGAGATGCCTTGCTGCCAAATAGTATTCTGCTAACTGAGCTATGTTACTATGCATATGTACACCTTAAACTTCTGCTTTTTTTATTGTCTTATTTTTTATGTCTTTATTTTAAGGAGAACCAATGCAGCTATATTTGAGTATATTTTTGTTGTGCTTTTCAGAGAGAATGACGTAGACAGGAATCAAGCCATTGTCAGTGCGCAGGAATGTGGATTGTAAAATCTAATTTATGCATTATAGGCCTGTTGTTTTGAGCTGTGCTTGAAGAACTGAAACCGATTCATGGCAAACTGATGTACAGGAGCCTTCCAGAGTTACTGTCATCCTTTGAAAGATGAGCTAAAGAGGCTAATTTAAAATGTTTTTGTTGTTTATCAGCTTGATTTTTTGAAAGAAAGCTAACATCTGAGTGAGGTAAAATTATTACATTTAAATTAAAAGAAAAAAAAAACACATATATAAATAATAAACCTTTTTCTGAAAAACACATTTTTACAATGTCACGAAAACCACTTCATACACATTATATACATGACATACATCTACCTACTCAGCCTGAAGCAGGTTAGCCCCCCCTTTCACACTCAATCAAGCACAATACAGGACAGCAAGTCAGATGACAGAGGTCATTTACATGTATCAGTCTTAAAGGCACAATCACAAAAGAGCCTAATTCTAAGGGATGAAGAGAGGTTTGAAAATGGTCATGAAAAAATGAATCAGGACTGTTTTTGGTATATAAAACCACACAGATGTAATAAATGAATCTCAAGGGATAAATACAATACAAGAAAAATGTAGGACACAGGCCATTTAGCTGAACTACTAGTGCTTGCATTTGTACTTTATTGACAGCCGCAAACTTTCCAAGTCGTTTTTTGGCACAGCTGCAGCATTTATACCACCTCCTCACTGTGTGAGAGGGCAAAATACCCACGTGTCCTCTTCAAGGCAGGTTTATCATGGCTGCAGTGAAATTACTGTCTAATAGTGGTGTTCAGGGACAGATCATGGTCTTAGGAGGCCCCTGGGCACAAGCATGTTTGGATGGATGGATGGATGGATGGATGGATGGGTGGATGGATGGATGGATGGATAGATAGATAGATAGATAGATAGATAGATAGATAGATAGAAAGAAAGAAGGCCCCTGGGCACAAGCATGTTTGGAGCCCCCCTGCACTTGATAGATAGATAGACAGATAGATAGATATATATAGATAGAGATTAAACAATAGTTCACATTCATGTTGATGCACACTTTTAGCAACGCAGATCTTTTTGTTTTGAAAATAAAATTAACCTTTTGTTTTCAAAAGGTCATCAAAGGGTCACACACTGTCTAAAACAGTGGTCACTGTCACACACTGTCTAAAACAGTGGTCACCCACCCTTCTCCTGGAGATCTACCTTCCTGCAGACTTTAGTGCCAACCCTAATAGTCCCCAACTGAATGAGGCGTGCTTGTTTCAGGTTGGAGGTGAAACATGCAGGACCATAGACCTCTAGGAGGAATGCTGACCACTGGTCTAAAGCATCCCAATGGAATGGCAACAGCAAAATAGATATTGAGTAGATATTTATATGATGCTTTTAAGGGGCCTGAGAGCAGATAACGTTCTTCATTTATTTCACTTATTTAGTCATTTTTACACATTCAAGGGCTATTGGGTCATCTAATGTTTATATCTGCAGTGGATTATGCCAAGTATTTCAGTCCCCTCAGGCCTTGTGGTCTGAGGTCCCCTGAGGCCTCTTGCAGTGAGAAGGACACTGGCCTCACTGCCTTGGTCAGTAATCTATCCCTGGGGGAATCTTTTCTGGGGCGAAAATATAGTCAACCTGTTAATTTGTGTATTCTCAGATTTTACCCATGTTGGTTGTTTGACCTGAATACAACCTCAAATTTTATCACAGAAAACAAGACACAAGGAGTCATGGACAACTTGGAGTTCCAAAGTACCTAAGAGTGCTAAAAAAATGGCAAAAAATGAACAGGACTATATATCTGTTATATTCTGATCAAAAGAATTAGGTGGAATGACAGTATATATATGATGTTTTGTGGATTTTATGTCTAATTTTACCACAGAACATTTTTCTAATGTTTTCAGTTTAACAACAAATGGACAAAGAAGTCATTTTTCATTGCTCCAACTTTGCATAGCTGATTAATATCTTGATTTGGCCTAAAATTCATTTTAAGGCTTGATTTGAGTTCATATTGCTAATGTTAAAATTATTTTCTTAAGATGGATTTTGAAATGAGTTGGTGTGACCGCCAGGGGGCGCAGCAACTCTGTTTTATTTTTTTGTCCTTTTTACTCTAGCACAATATTGAGAATGAAAACGGGTCTGTATACATCACACTAAAGTATGTTCTGATGGGATTATGTTTCCATGGAGAGGAGGGGTTACATCATTTTACCACAGGAGGTCTGTAATGTTTATCACTGATTTCCATGGTATAAGAAATCTATACAGTATACACTGATCAGGCATAACATTATGACCACCTCCTTGTTTCTATGCTCATTGTCCATTTTATCAGCTCCACTTACTATATAGGTGCACTTTGTAGTTCTACAATTACAGACTGTAGTCCATCTGTTTCTCTGCATACTTTTTTAGCCCCCTTTTACCCTGTTCTTCAGTGGTCAGGACCCCCATAGACCCTCACAGAGCAGGTACTATTTGGGTGGTGGATCATTCTCAGCACTGCAGTAACACTGATGTGGTGGTGGTGTGTTAGTGTGTGTTGCGCTGGTCTGAGTGGATCAGACACAGCAGTGCTGCTGGAGTTTTTAAACACCTCAGTGTCACTGCTGGACTGAGAATAGTCCACTAACTAAAAATATCCAGCCAACAGCGTCCTGCGACCACTGATGAAGGACTAGAGGATGACCAACACAAACTGTGCAGCAGCAGATGAGCTATCGTCTCTGACTTTACATCTACAAGGTGGACCGACTAGGTAGGAGTGTCTAATAGAGTGGACAGTGAGTGGACACATTGTTTAAAAACTCCAACAGCACTGCTGTGTCTGATCCACTCATACCAGCACAACACACACTAACACACCACCACCACCACATCAGTGTTACTGCAGTGCTGAGAATGATCCACCACCCAAATAGTTCCTGCTCTGTGAAAGGTCCATGGGGGTCCTGACCACTGAAGAACAGGGTAAAAGGGGGCTAACAAAGTATGCAGAGAAACAGATGGACTACAGTCTGTAATTGTAGAACTACAAAGTGCACCTATATAGTAAGTGGAGCTGATTAAATGGACAGTGAGCGTAGAAACAAGGAGGTGGTCATAATGTTATGCCTGATCGGTGTAAATCACACCTATGGGAGTGGATTTCACTTAAAAATAGTGTAGAGAACATTTCAAAATTTAATAAAAGCTGTTACTTGTCTCTTGGTAGACAAATGTAGCGTCATTATGCTACTTATAGTGAACTGTGCTGCCTGTCACTGTATAAAACAATAGAAACAGACGGTTAAAACAGAAGCTAAGACAGCTCTGGGGTTGTCAAAGTTAGGACAGAATTTTGGAAATTCGTCTAGTTAGGACGTTTGTGGAGTACTGTTTTCTTATCTGGAGTTATGATAAGACTGAGCTGTTCTGTAATAGCTTCTGTCCTAAATTCAGCCCTAACTGAAGTTGTCATGGTGACTAAACAGATAAGATTTCAGACTTGAGAATTGTTTCTAGCAGTTTCAGTTTTTAATGTAGTTTTTATTAAATGCAGTCAGAATAAAGAACTAAGAAAAGTAATAGCTTATCTTAGATCTATTATTATATTAAATATTATGTCAAGCAAAAAAAGTCCAGTAGAACACAATGGATTCAGTTTTCAACTGTGCACCTTATCATCTCAAAAATGGATGTAAAACAGTTGACAAATGTCTCCTAATATGGGTCTAAAGAACATCATACATACAGTCCTTTAAACTATTTATTAAAAAAAAAACGTTCCTTTAACGTTACACTGAGAACGTTTCAGACTAACATTGTGAGAACTTTTATCAAGGTCACATAACGTTTACAGAACGTTCTATTGACGTTTTTGTGAGAACGTTTGCTCCTAACATTAGGAGAACCTTTACATAACGTTGTGGGAACGTTCCCTGTTAGCTGGGAAGACGTTTCTGTAATACGGTTCCGGTTCCTGTCGTCACCACTGTAAAGAAATCCAAGCTGGTAAGCTTCTCTACCGTTTCACCACTTCACATCAAACCTCTCTACGTTCACATTACAAGCCTCGTTGCTCAAATCCGATTTTTTGCTCAAATCCGATCTCTCTGACAGGATGGTTCACACTTGTTTAGGTAAGTGATTCAAATCTGTCATTAATGTTAACAAACTGGCGTCCTGAAATGACCCGCATGCGCACATCGTACTCAGTAAAGTCACGTGAATGAATCGCGTGCGTCACGTGCATCATCAGCAAACAGACTAACGAGCAGAACGAGCTTTGCTGTGAAGATAATTAACTCTGATCAGCTCTCAGCTTCATTATTAGAGCGAGACGAAGGAGAAAAAGGTGAAATTTGTTTCTTTTCCACCGTTTACAGACTTTAACTTCTGTTCGGCGCTGCTGCCATGGTAACGCTGAATGATGGCGCACGCGCATTGGAAAAAAGCACGTGAATTCCGATCTGAAGGTTCACATTAAAGTCGTATGGCCACGAATCATATCCGATCTAGGACCACAAATGAAAGTGACTCAGGTCGGATTTGAAAAGATCAGATTCGCGTGTCCACACAGCCCTGAAAACATCAGGTCTGAGTCACATTCGGGCAAAACATCGGATCTCGATGATTAAACGATGCGGAAATTTTGGAAAGTCGGTGGAGTTCCCCTTTAAGGCTGTGATTTTGGTGATGATAGCGGTCTCCTCTCTCTCTCCTCCCTCCAGCTGCAGCCCCGCCCCTTTTCAGTCCTCCGCCGTTTCCGTTCTCGTTGTCCCAGAAAAAGTTTTCACGATGGAGCTGATTTGAGTGAAGAAGTCGAAGACTCGCTGTTTAAACTCGAGGCCGCATCGCCTCCTCAAGCGCTGTTTCAGTGAGTTCGAGTCAAAGCGGGTCGCTTTTACGGTTTAACTACATGAGGACGCAAAGAGAGCGGAGTTAGCTCAAAAAGTTATCTTCTGAGGCCAAATCTGGGAAACGGGCGAGCTGTTTTAGGGAGACCGCGGCGAGGTGAGTAACGCTGCTCTTAACGCTAAACCGACGCTAATGTTTGGTTTAAATGTCCTATTTTCTATTTAGCTACTAAATCAAATCTCTCCTGTAGCGTTTGCTGCTTTATTGGTGTTTGGTTCAACTTTGAGATCTGGCCGAAACGGATTATATTTATTTACATCGTTTAAGGGCAACTCCACCCATTTTTCAAAATTTGTGCATAATTACACGGTTAACATGT